GTATTTGTAATCCCTTGTGTATTATACCTGTATATTAATTCAAAAATTTGAAACTTTAAATGATTATATCTAATAAACGAATTAAGTTATATTAAAAATTCAAATGCCATTTACTATTAAATTAAAAACTCAAACATTTTATTAAATTAAAAATATGTGTTACCATTTAAAAAAACAAAGTTGACCCCCCTCCAAGGCATAAGGGATGAACTTAAAAAGTATTACATAGTTAAAAATTCAAGAATAATGTGTAACTAAAGATAATAAAAAAAAAAATGTTAAAATTATTATTATTCTGCAAGTAATTGAGAGGGTTATGATAAAAAAATCCCCCTGTACATATTTTTATTACAAAAAAAATATTTTATCCATTCATTATGAACCTCTGATATACTTGCAAATTATATTTATTAATTTATCAGTTAATTGTTGCTTAATAGCCCCACCCTTTATAAGTGTGGTGTTAAAAATAATAGTCTTAGTAGGTTTTAACTCATTAAGATTAAGTTAATTGGAAAAGGTTAACAAATCAATAGTTAAATTTTATTTTTTTTAAATAAATCAAGTTAAAGGTTCAATTGAAAAATCTCATTAACTTAACGAGTTAAGTTTATATAACTACTAGTAGGTTTGCAAAATTACTCATAGGGTATTATAAATTTTTGAGAGCTAAATTTTTTGGATTACAAAATAATTTTTCATAAAAAAAAAATTAATATAATATAATATTATATATTTTATATAATTTTATTTTTCAAATAAATATTTATTTTAATGTAAACTAGTTGAATATACGTCATACTGTCGTTTAAGTGACAAAACTACGTATCTTGACAAAAGAACATTTTTTTTTGAAATATACACGTGTTCAATGTGATACATATTTAAAATAAATAACCATTATTATTTCTTGTGATAACATAATTTTAGTGAACCAATGAATGTGTTTAAACTTTCGTAGATTTTTGTATTGCTTGAAATGTTTACTTATGTATTCACGATTTGAGTCATAAACCGACGTTTCGGATGTATTTACGATTTGCGTTGTAACTGAAAACATGGATACATCCGTTAACATTAAAAAAAACCATTTCTATTATTAGCTATACAAAAATAGTGTATTCTTTTCTTTCTCTCTATAAATTTGGGAAAATCGACGTCATATAGTAATCAATCACCACCGCGATAACTATATGACGTATTTTATTTTAGCATATATTAAAATAAATAAAATGTATAATCGTATATAGAAGTCTACAAGTATTTATTTTTTCGTAATCCTTAATTTGTACTGAGCTTCATAATCGCTATTCAAATTTCGATGGTTTATTATGTAAAATATTTTCAATAACTAGTGTTAGCTTCAACAACTTATTTAAGGTTCAAAGTTTGTGCAATGCCGGCTATATTTTCTTTAGTATCGGCAATTTGCGATTTTTTAACCTTTTTGTTTGTTTAATAAATACGATTGACCATACGTATTTTTGGGCATGCCTTAGCGGAAGGAAAGGAGAATATAAAATTGTGGAAATTGAGCCTTACAATATACTATAGATAGAAAGAAAAACAACATATATATATATATAATCACAATCTGATATTTCCGTTATGATAGAAAAATAATAATAAACAACAAGAACCAATGATAAAATGAAATTAGCACAAATTACTAATAAAATAAATAACATATATATCCCCTTTCTTATAACTAATACATATATTATGTGGACTGTATCCGTTAAAATAAACAATAAAAAAAATTCTTAGTAATTACCCACTGCCGTCTGAAGGTGATGAACACTGGAACACATCAGATGCAGGGAAGGCAACAAAAAACACCGTAACATATAACAAGCCGTTGAGCAGCTCAAATTGAACAATGTGGCGACAAGGCAATACTCGACCCAAAAGAAACCTGGTGACGATATTACCGAAACGGCCGACTAATTGAGCGCGAATGAATTCTTCAAGACCACTGCCACACACACAGGGACCGGTCTAAACAGCAGCGCCGCCGTACCGTTACGAAGGTGGTGGTTTTTTTTTTTAGTGGGAAAAAACATTGAAGGTCGCGGCGTATATTATATAAAAAACGCGGAATCTCCGGAATACTAGACGGCTACAGAACAAAAAAGATAAAAACAAATTGCGTTGTGTCAGCGGCATACCCGTTGTGACAAACACGAACGTGTATGATGTGATCGACTGACCTGCTCTCCCTCACTTACCGTGTTTTCATATTAAATTAAATGTATCGAATCACCTCACATTAATGTGTATCTAACAAAGTTATTAGTATGTTTTTCATAACATATAAGCAAATGTTATAACAAATAAAAAAAGTAATTTTGAGGATTTTGATGATATAATTAGTATGAGTAATATATTTAAAACAAAAACGTATTAAATCATATAAAGTAAAAAAAAAAAAGAAACAGTTGTTATTAAATATCTTAAAAGCCCCTAAAGATATTTTAAAAGTAGAAAAAATGGATTTAATATCAAAATGATTAAGTTTGTGTTTAGAAAATAGAAATAATTATGATTCTATATGAGTTTGCTTTTGTGAAATATCATGAGAATTAAATTAAATAGATTGGGATTATTATTTTAATAAATACATTTTTACGCTATTAATGATTTTTACTAAGCTTGAGAGGTATAATTCTAAGAAACGTACCATATTATTATAACGGAAAAATAAATTTCTACCATAGTTTAGTGTTGAATTTGGAAATCTGTTTAAATAAAAAACTGTATCCTATAAAAATGTTTAATTATCAAAATATATAAGTAATTATATTATATATTTTTTAATTTAATAGCAAAATGTAAATTTTTTACTTTATTTTGTCATAGTAAATATATTGATAAATTAAATATATTAGTTGATAAGTTAAGTAAAGTAACTGTAATTGGTAAAATTTGTACATAAAGTATTTGTTTTTAATTAATATCAAAATATCTTTAAAAATCAAATCGAGTAGAATTTTTTACGAGGGAAGACTTTAGGAATAAATAAATCTATAGATTTAATATAATTTATTAAGTGCCATATTTACAATGATAGATATTTGACCTATTAATATTTCTTAGTTATAAGGACATTTGATATAATCTCTACATTTAAAATTATAATAACAAGTAGATTTATAGAAATCTCGTACATAATTTGAGCATTGTATCTTTTTTTTGATACTGCATGGCAATTGTTTAATTATACTAATGATTCAGAAGTGATATTTACTAGAAGAGAGTTTAAATTAGAAAAAAATTAATTTTAATAAATACCGTAACTATTAGAAATAATGTTATGTTGATATTAAAATTTAATTATAATTAAAAAATGAAAGGCTTTTGAAGATTTCATTCACCTTGGTCAATTATATTCCACCATAAATAATTAATAATTTCGTGTTCATCCAAAAATATTCTGCATCGAGTAAATTATTATCATCCATATGAATATATAACTTTGACCTAATATGTATATTTTTAACAGCCTCTGTATTCACTGAATAAACGCTTGGTGAGCTATAATTAACATCAACAGTGAATACTGACATATCTCACCATTGCATATACACACAAGTATATAACAACATTATGGATGGGATCATAATAATAATTTGATAATTAACTCTTATGAATGCATATCACTAACCCTCGCCAGTCATCAAACAAAAAGCAGTTTTAACTCTACAGCATGATAAATATTGTACTTAAATCATTAAGTTAAGATTTGAATCATATATTGAATGATTTAGCCACGTTTATGTTAGAACAAAAAAAATCAGCTTTATACAATGAAATATTATATTTTAATTCGGTTATTTTTGTTCAGTAGACTTCGAACATTTTGGTAGTGTACATATAATACACATTTATTATTTACAATTTAAATAATATTCACATAATAAATAGAATATTAAAAAAAAAATTAGTTTCTTTTTGTTACATAAATTAATTTATTTTCTAGACATTAATTACTTTTTACTGTCATCCTTTAAAGATGTCGACTTTAATTTTTAGAAATAACAATATTAAATAAAATTAGCTCTTATACTAAATTAATAGAAAATATCTATTAATTATAAATTCATTAAATTTAGATCATTTAATAACATAATTAAAAAATTGATGCGTCGATAAAAAATTTTAGACTATCTAGAAGTTGTAATAATTTAGAAATATAGACTGAGGAAGAATGTTACTATTTATATTATTAGTCATTTCTAGGCTGCATTCTCCTTTTCATACTCAATTATAAATATGTTAATAACTTATAACTTTTTTTGAAAAAATAAATTTTTTCTTCTATATTTTTTTATACACATATTATTTTTCAAACATAAAAAACGTATGATATAATTTTAGGTTATTTTATCTTTTAAACATGTATTTGTATACTAACTGATAAATATAGACGACGATTTGAGTTTTTTTTTTTTTTGATAGAGAAATACATATTTACAATATGAAATACAAATAAGAGTTTTCAAAATAATAAATCTCTATTATTTCTTGAGATAATGTAGTTATAATAAAAATTTTTTTGTTAGTTATTTAAAAATAATGTATTTAATTATTCCTCCTAATAATTTCGAAAATTGAGATACAGTTCATTACGGAGACAGTGGTATGCAATAATTATAAAAATAATTTTTCAATTATTCGTCTACGTAATTAAACATTTATTTTTTTTGACATATTTAGAATTTTATTAAAAATAGCTATTACCAAAAAATATATGTTAATCTGACGTTGAATAAACAATAAAAAATGATTTTAACATAAAATCTATATATCTCTATTAAGCTATAAAGAATAACTGAATTAAACTATAATAAATTTACTTATTTATTCCCACTTTTGAATTTCACCAACTATAATGTAAATATAATAATATAAAAACTCTTCTAAAAATACGTGCTTTTAGTGTAAAATATTTGATACTAGGCCCGTAATTTATCGTAAACAATTAAAAGTTCATATATTAACATAAGTGGCATAATTTTAAAGATGTTATTTTGCAATAAAATGAAATTATTGAACATTTTATTATTTTATATGGCAAATAAGTATAAAGTATTTTATAAAAAATATAAGCTCCAAAAATATATACAAGTAAACAAATGATTCAATTATTATTTATGGTAATTTATATAAGCTAAATACATAATTAAAAACTACTAATTAATTAATCTTCATTTACAGAGTTCAAATTAGAAAATGGTTCTGAAACAAAATTCATAAAACTATTATAAAATAATATTAATATTAATTATATATCAAATATTTTTAAAATACAAGTGTTTTATTTCCTACTAACTCTTAAACTTCAAAAAATGTTGTTAAATTTCATGTAGTTATAAAAGGTAAATCTACATAAAAATCAAATAAAAGTCGTGATTCGTAAATATTTATTCAATTATAATTGTGAATTTGTGTATCATTTTTCACTAAATTTGAACTAAATTTTTTATTTTGTTTAACTTTTGATCAAGTTTCAATATTGTATGTATCTATATGTATATGTTGGTTAATGGTTGATGTTATAATCATTTATTATTTTTATTAAGACCAAATATTAAAAGAGATATGCCTTTAACAATTTTATGTATGTAGCAATGAAAAAAAAATGTTTGAAATGTTAATTAGTAAAATTTGATATGTGTTTATACTTAGATACAATAGATCTCGTATTTATGTAAAAATAAAAAACTCTTTGATCGTGATTTATCTCATGGTTCTTTTATTTATCATGAATGGACATAACAAATATTTATAGGAAATTAAAAATTTAATACAAGAACTCGGTTATAGATCATGGATTATTTTGTATAATAGAGCAATAAACCAACTATGAAATTTTTAATCATTATTAACAAAGATTATTTTTTTATATTCATCATCAATATAAAAAATTGCGTAAAAGAACAACTAAATTTATATCCTATCTTTTTAAATTGGATGTTCCATTATAAATTAACTAGAGAAATTGAGTATAAGTTTGAGTTTAAGTAGAAGCATGTTTTAGAGAATAATATTGTATGAAAATGTCTTTCAGTTACGGTAAATGTACACATTATTGGTTATAAATATACAAGCGTATTGTTTTATTCATATTTTATTAATATGATATACCCATTTTAAATATATATCTAGGTAAATAATAAAATAATTATCATAATAAATAAATACTTTTTATTTAATTATCTTCATGTTGTCAAAATTATTTTTTGAATTAGACCCCTAACATTGTCTTAATAGTTAAAATAATGAATTAAAATCAAAGACTTGAGTAGCTTAAAAATCAAAGATTCTAAACATAATTTAAACAAATTGGCTATTTTAAAATAATTTCATCTTACCTATTTCACATTCTTGAATAATTTCTAGTGGTTTTATTGTAAATAATTCTTCGTGAGGAACAGTTCTTTTTATTATTTCAAATATGCATTTATATGATGATAAAGAATTCACAAAATTATTGATATTACTAACTTCTCTATTGCTTTCGCTTATTATTTTTTTATATATTTCGTCTGATAAATTAGTTGAAATTTTATCAGCTATAGTAAATTCAAGATTGTTCAAAATCATAGGTTTCGAGCACATTCTTAAAAGACTTGAAATTAATTCTGGATGTTCAGTCTTTATGGAACTCTTAGGTTCCATATATATTATCTCTTCAAATTTTTTCAAAACATTTATTAGGTATTCGTTTGGTTTGTCTGCAAACAAATTTAAATCAACAAATTTTTTAAAAATATCTTTAAGTAAAATTCCAATTTTAGTTATATCTTCTGTAAACTTTATTGAGATGAATTGGGCGTAGAATATTTGTTTGAATACAATTAAATAGTTACTTATAGATTTAAACACAGGATGAATCGTTGAAGCTAACACTTGCTGTTGGTATGATTTTATAAATTCTGCTTTATAGTTTAATGAAACACAATAAAATAACTCTACTACTGTACTTTTTATTTCAGCATCATTATTTGTAGTTAGAATTACTTTTCTTATTAAATTTAAGCCATTATTTTTTTGCTTAAAATCTATACTTGAATTATTGGAAATAACTGGATTTAAAGAATTGGCTTTAGAATTTTTTGGATAAGCCCAACCAGACATCAAATCGTAAAATAGCATATTAGTTGGATGGAAGTCATTATAACTATCGTTCTCAAGTGTTTCTTTAAAGGCTACAAAACTCTGGTACTTTAAAATTTGTATATCTTCCATCAATTTCTTTGTACTAAGAGTGGCCATATGATTATCGCTCATTTTATACACTATTTCTTTTAAATCTGTAAAACGCTTATCAATCTTCCCCATTAAACAATTTCTACATTTTGAATTTATGTACTGCGACAATTCTTCAGTCATAATATTGTAATAAAGAATGAATTTATCTCTTGATAATTTTACATAACCATCAACTGTTGAATTTTCATTGATATTTCCTTTTAGATTATTGATGTATAGATTAACCGTCATTAAATCAGGTACAAATACATTACTTTTCAAACTTCGCAATTCATCAAGCATAGCCAAAATATTTTTTGATTGGGACTGTAGATTAGAATTATAATAAATTAAGTTTTCTAACGTAAAGGTCTCGATATTGTTTTTATAGTGGACTGCTACGAAGCGTTGTTCATTTAACTGAAGGAATTGTAGCATGAATTTCGAGAAAACACAGTGTAATAGAGTAAAATTCTCATCATTGCTTTTATCTAAAAAATGTAATTAAACCATTGAAAAACACATTAAGTGCATATAGAATTAATATAATAAAAATTGATCACTTGAGACTAATATTAATAAAAATTAAAATCATATTTAAAATATCGATTTAAAAATAAAAAATATTTAACTCAAAGAGCCAAAAAAAAATTACTAAATCACTACGGATTTCGGGAATAATGTTCTTATTTCGAAATTTTCTATTGCCTCCCTTGTGTCAAGTTCTTTGTAATTATTTACGTTTTCAATTAATTCTATGATTTTAATAGAGTGATTATGAAATAAGGGAACAAAATTTTGATAATTACTCGAAAAACACACGAACGTTCAAATAATTAAAATCACAGCTGGTGACACAAAATGGTAGCTTTTAAGTATATGATTTACAGATTAGCTAATATTACGATAAATAAAACGGATTTCGACAAAGAACTCAAGGTTATAAGATAAATAACTAGATTTAATAGGTATAATGAAAAGGTAATTTCAAAATTAGTAGGAGCACAAAAGAGGAATAAATAAAAAAAGAATTGCAATTAGTGCACTTACTAGCATGGTAGAACAAAAAGTAATTATATTGTCAATTTCATATTTCCAGGAATTTCAAGTGGACTAGCAAGAATTTTTAAGAATTTTGGTATTACTTTAGTAAAATATTTATTAGGTAATAAATGTTACGTTGGTCAAACAAAAATAAATATAGGGGTCAAGTTTAAAGAAAACTTAAAAAACAATATAAATCAAGAAGTTGATCAATTTCCTGTGGCTAATAAATTATTGACACAAAATCAATCAATTAAAACCATAAAACTAATTGAAAATGTAAATAATTACAAAGAATTTTACATAAGGGAGGAATGGAAAATTAAAAAAATAAGAACAATTTAATTAGTTGGAATCTGAAAAATTCATTGTTGAACCTATGTAATTGTGATAATATTACTTTGTGAAAACGTTAATTGGTGATAAGGTATTTAAGGTATATACTTGGGATATATAAGAAGGGTTATTAAGTCGTGGTGTCAGAATGTGTTTAACGTTGATAATGGTAACATTATTCTCGAAATACGTATTCGTGGTGTTTTAGTCAATTTTTTTGGCTTTTTAAGTTTAATATTTTTAATACAGATTTAATTTTTATTATAGAGTTCATATGAAATACCTTTTTTTATGAATTAAAAAATAATTCAATTTTAATTTGATCTATTTTATGATATTTTATAAATTATATTTTGTTATTATTTAAAAATAACTATAAAAACTTATTAGGTATGAAAAATATAATTTCTTTTTATGTTCCGAAGCATTAATTTAGGTACCGTGTAAATGTATTAACGACATAATTATAATGAACTTTTATTGTATAAGTTTGGTTTATAAAAAAATGTTGAATGAAATTAAATCTATCGTTCATAGTATTAGTTACTTGTTTTTTTAAAAACTTAGGAACCTAATTTTCAAATACTTTGAAACTAAAATGGATCTCATGTTTTTTTATATATGAACCTACTCTAACTATTGCTATCTAATAGCTTATACGAGTAAGATAATTAACACAATATAATATATACATTTCAAGAATATATATTTAGAATAATATAATTGCACTATCACACCACTACCAAATTATTTTAACTTGATATGATATTAAAAACATAAGACCCATCAGTTAATTTTTTTATGAAGTAAAAAATATAACTTACGATTAGCTGCATCACTTTTATTGACCTTTATAGTTGGCTCTCTTCTAGACGTATTATTTGTCAATATAAATTGGTTTTTTATTCTATTTGATCTACTATTTAAATCTTCTTTTTGGTTTTTTATTTTATTTTCAGCTAAATCATTATATATATTTAGTAGTTGACTTACTCGTGATCCTACTTTCTTTATATTATTATTACTCGGAATGTCTTGGGTTTCATTTGCTATATTAATATTATTTCCAATTGAATTATCCAAAATACGTTTTTCAATATTAGACTTTAATTCATTGAATTTTAAGATTCCAATTTGGTAATCACCTTCATCATTTTTATTTGGGTTACTTGATGAAGAACAATCTGTAGCAAATTCTATTTCTTTATTTTCGCTATTATACTCTGATTTAATTTTTACAGAATTATTATTATTATTGGGTTCATTTTTTACTTTTAGATTTTCATCGACTTTTTCATGTAGAACAATATTGTTTTGATTATTACTATTTATTAAATTTACGCTTTTATTAGAGTTACTTGACCTATTATTTTCAAAACTATTTTTTCCTTTTTTATCCTTATCAATATCATTAATGCTGGTAGCTTTAAGTTTGATTAAAGAATTATTTCTATTTAATTCTGCTTTATTCGTTCTATCAGTGTTTATCAATGAACTGCTTGCGAAATTTATATTTTCTACTTGATTATTCGTACCATTTTCATTTAATTCATTATTTTCTTTTTTATTCATATTTGTTAAACAAATATTTGTGATTTTATTACTAGAACCGTCACTAATATAATCTAAATCATTGTCGCTATCAAAAATAGTTAGTATACTTGATGATGACAAATTCATACTATTACATGAAAAATCCATACTCCTAGATAGGTCAAATTCATCGTGTTCATTTAAATCACTATTATCATTACTATTTATATCATTAATGGAAACATTTGTGATTTTATTACTAGAATCGTCACTAATATAACCTAAATTATTGTTTGTATCACATCTAGTTAATGTACTATTTAATGAAAAATCGATACTTTTAGATCGGTCAAATTCATCGTGTTCATTTAAATCACTATTATCATTACTATTTATATAATTAATGGAAACATTTGTGATTTTATTACTAGAATCGTCACTAATATAATCTAAATTATTGTTGGTATTAGAACTAGTTTGTGCACTATTTAATGAAGAATCTATACTTCTAGATCGGTCAATTTCATCATGTTCATTTAAATCACTATTATCTTTATTATTTATATCATTAATGGAAACATTTGTGATTTTATTACTAGAATCGTCACTAATATAATCTAAATTATTGTTGGTATTAGAACTAGTTAGTGTACTATTTAATGAAGAATCGATACTTCTAGATCGGTCAATTTCATCATGTTCATTTAAATCACTATTATCTTTATTATTTATATCATTAACGGAAAAATTTGTGATTTTATGACTAGAAGCGTCACTAATATAATCTAAAATATTGTTGGTATTAGAATTCATTAAAGAATTGTTTGAAATAATGATACTTTCGGTTCGGTTAATTGAACCAGTTTCATTTAAATCACTATTATCTTTTTTATTCATATCAGTTATGGAAATATTTGTGGTTGTAGGTTTATTATTAACATTTTGACTAGTATATCTTTCACTATTGTTAGTATCAGAACTATTTAATAGACTGTTTGATAAATTGACATTTACAGCTTGATTAGTTGAACTATTTTCTCCAATTTTTTTCCCCTCTTTTTTACCCAAGTCAATGACAGAAATGTTCGCAGTTATAGGTTTATTTTTAGATGGAATATTATTTGTTTCTACGCTGTTATTTAAGAATTTATTATACATGCTGTTTAATTTATTACTATTTTGGGATACTAATTCTGTTTGGTTAAATTTCGTATTATTTATACTGTTATTTGCTTCTTTTTTTACGTCAATTATTGATACTGGTTTGGAAAATAGTAAATTTTTATCATAATGAGATAGATTTTCTAAAAAAAAAAGATCATGTATTAGCGTATAAATGGTGAGAATTATATTGAAAAACATGTAGTTAAAAAATTTTCCCTTTAATTTTCTTTTTTTAAATTAATTAAATTTATTTAAATATTTTTTTTATTATTTAAAGAGAAACAAATATCGACTTCATAAAAACAAAAATAAATAGACATTTATAGCAACCAAAATTAACTTAAATATGTTCTGTATCAAACAAGTCTCTCGAATCAGTTATCTATTTTAGCACCCAAATAATTTATTTAAATAAGTCAACGATAATAACTTTTAATCCAATAATCATTATTCATTAATTTTCTTTTTTAGCAATTTTTGTTCTCTATTATGGGTAGAATACGAGAACGTGTTGTAATTTTGCAAACTATATCTCAATAAATATGTGTTACCATTTAAAAAAACAAAGTTGACCCCCTTACAAGGCATAAGGGATGAACTTAAAAATTATTACATAGTTAAAAATTCAAGAATAATATGTAACCAAAGATAATAAAAAAAAGAATTTTTAAATTATTATTATTCTGCAAGTTATTGAGTGGGTTATGATAAAAAAATCACTCTGTATAATGTTTTAATCTCAATAAATACTTAGCTCAAAAATTTTATCGATTTTTTACAATATATTGTAAGAAAAGTGCTTAATATTGGATATCATGAAAATTTTAAAGTATTACTAAGTATAAAATCCTTATTTCGTATTTTTATAATAGACAAATAATAAAAATATACTTTAACGTAGCCCAAAACTACAAAAATTAATCGAAATAATATTGAACCAAACGTTTATATATATTCAAATAAAACTATAGACAATAATTCAATAATATACTTATCATCTTACCTGTACTTTTTACATTTAATATATTTAATGGCTCTACTTCAAACAAATCGTTGTGTGAAACGGTTTTTCTAATAATATGGAATGATTTTTTATTTTGAATCAACGCATTTACGTATGTGTCGACTATATTCAATTCTCCGTCAATTGTACGCAATAGATTTAGACATTCTTGGTATGTAATATAATTTTTTAATTGATAAACTTTCAAATTAAGCTTAAGTTTATTTATACTCATTGCTTGAGTCATGGTCGTTATTGCATTATTTATCCAATTTGGTTTACTGTTGTATAAATTAAAGCTCGATAAATTATGAGCCAAATCGGAATATAACTTGTTGATTTTAAAATCGTATAATTCCGTGCGAGTTATGTTTTGAATTATTTTTACTATTGAATTAGTTAGATTAGTTATATGAGCTCTAAATGTTCTATCGAATTGTGTAGAGTAAAGCTGTTTATAAGTATTGAGGAACGATATAATAAGCATAAATACTGGATGAATTGTAGCAGCTAAAAATTGTTGTTGAAATGATTTCATATAATATCCATCAAAATTAAGTAATGCACTTTCGTATAATTTTAGGATAGTTGTTTCGGTGTTATAGTTAACTTGTACTGTAACGGATCTCATCAAACTAAGGCCATCAGGTGCTTTGTACGTACTGTGAAACTTGCTATAAGAATTCATAATATCGAAAAACAATAAGTTTGAAGGGTGAAAGTCTACATACCTAATTTTAAGGATATTTTGTTCAAATACACCATTAGCTGTTTTTTTTAAACCCTCTAAACAATTATAAGCAACTTGAACATCATCTATTTTATTTATATTAAGGCAACCTCGTTGGCTTATTGTTAAATATTCAAATCGCTTTTCAACTTGAATAAAAAATAAATTTGTGTTATCACATTCATGATCTAAAAACCTTTGTAAATGAGTGGTAATCAAGTCATAATTTATTTTAAACCCAATTCTCAAATGTTGTTCGTCAGTTAAATATGTATTATTATATGTATTTTCATTATTAGAATACATATAAGTATGACCCATTACATTATTTAAGTATAAATTTACCGTCATTAGATCTGCAGAAAACTGTTTATCTATTTTTTGTAACTCGTCCAGCATCACCAAAATTATAACGCTTTGTGTTTGTATATTATTTCCATAATATTTCAAGTGATTCATATAAGTGACATTCGGGACATTTAGGTTTGATGACAAAATGAAATACTTTTCATTTAGCTGAAAAAAATTTAACATATATTTCGAAAACAAACAATGTAATTTCATGTGACCGTAAAAATTTGCAAAAACTGCAGCAAAAAGAATCAAAAACACAATTAGCCGAAACATAGTTTATGATAATTTAAGTAAGAAAACGCGTAAAATGTTTTTAAGGCTTAACTTTACTTCTTTAAAATTTCAATATCCTGTCACAGATAAATGATTGAAAAATAAAAAATAAATGTATTAAATGTATAATAACTAATACGGTATATAAACCTTTGAAAAAATAATAATATATAATTAAATATTTCAGTGTATGATAATATTGATAAAAACCAACGTCAATTCTTAAAATACACATTAGCGTAATTAACACTTGCGTCATTTTATATTGTCATCTTAATACTTAGATTGTAATGTTTAATAATTTTAACATGTGTGCATAAATTTAAACCATTAATTTATGATATTTTGCGATAAAATTGACAGTATAATCAATTGTTTTTAATACGCAATAAAAGTATTAAATGTATGTGAAAAATTTTTGCTTAGGAATAACAGAATAAGAAACTTTTTAATTACGTGTTTAAATGCGTTTAAATTTTCAATTAGTATAAATCTATATCATAATAATTATTTCACTTATAATGGAATAAATTTACCAATAAATTAAATAGAATTAATTAGCCACAAGTGATCATTTTTTATTATATTTTTACAAATAAATTCTCAAAACAGTAGAAATAGTATACTTAAAAAAAAAATTTTTGCATAAAAATGTGACCTGGATTCTACTTGATTTTAAAATAAAAAAAAAATATCAAAATTCACGTAAAAGTAGTGATAGTAATTTTTATAAACATGCATATTTAATAATTAATTTTGATGGTTATTATCAAACAGAGTACGCCCTATTTCTAAATAATAACCAACACTATAATGGATAGCGTTTCTAGATACTAATATGTATTAAATTTCTTTATACATGATAATGTATAATATAATATAATATTATGTTATTATTATGTTGTAATACAATAATTATAATTAATTATCTATAGACAAGTAATTATCAAATATATAAAATAATTAATTACTTTACTTACATTTTTTCATAAAAACAAAAAAAAATTACCTACCAAATATGTACTATTTTTATTAACCAACATGGATATTTGTTTACAGTGTAACAATAGTACCGAAATGCTGATATCAGCACCTTATATACAAGGTGCCGCTTTGCATAGAATTTATTAATATTGAACACGCTCGAAAATTTAATACACAATTATCAATACATATATTGATGATATATTATCAAAATACATATTACCATGCGCAACGAATAACACAGTAACTCAAAAATTCAACTTTGACATTATGAGCCATATGAATTTCTGTTTTACTCGTCTCATAATAACTTTTGTCAAAATGTTGAAAATTTGGTTTGAATCGGAATTAATCTACTTAGAAAATTGATAAACAAATAGGGTGTAATCAAATAAATTTTATTTTTGAACTCCTGAAAAGTAAGAAAAGTTTCTGCCTTTATCCTTGCGCATATCAATATAACTCAGGTTATATGAGTTTAATATAGCCATTTATGAATAATGAGCAAAATAAAATGTTAAAATTCAATTGCTGCATGATTCTATAAGGACCTATAAATTATTAGTTATTATGAAAATNTAATAACTTTTGTCAAAATGTTGAAAATTTGGTTTGAATCGGAATTAATCTACTTAGAAAATTGATAAACAAATAGGGTGTAATCAAATAAATTTTATTTTTGAACTCCTGAAAAGTAAGAAAAGTTTCTGCCTTTATCCTTGCGCATATCAATATAACTCAAGTTATATGAGTTTAATATAGCCATTTATGAATAATGAGCAAAATAAAATGTTAAAATTCAATTGCTGCATGATTCTATAAGCACCTATAAATTATTAGTTATTATGAAAATAATTTTTTTTATCATTAACAAGATTCTAAAACTGGCGGTTCTCCCATCATTCATTTTTCCGGCTTTGTTATTTCCTAAGAACCGATTATTGGATTTATGGCACCTCCCATGTATGAAAGTACTTGTAATAATAATCTATGCAAGGATAGACAATTATATTAAAAATCCCTCTCCTCTCCTCGGGATTATATAATTCCGGAGCCTCTATGTAAAATTATAGGCGCAATCTGGATGGTCATAAAGAGCTTAACTTCCTAATTCTGCCACAGCATCCCAAAAATTATATTCTTTGTATTAGTGTCTTAGTTATAAGAGTGGCTGGACTGTTGCAATTCTCTGTGAGTACCATTAGAAGTGTTTATAATCAATTGAGTTAAGTATCTTAAGTTTATTATTATTGTTGTGAACAATATTTTATTAACATCGCCCAAAAAAATATATCCAACTATTTTTTAAAGTTGGTTAAACTATACGAACAGTACTCTTAATTATATAATTATATTGTCATCAAATGAATCATGTGGTGCAGTTTAGCAAAGTATACACTTAACACTAAGAACTGTTAAATTATCAGAAACTTATTTTATATTACTTGTGTTATAAAAATATTTCAATATAATAATTTGCCAAACAATTATTTTTTTCTAACTACGTTAATATATAAAAATAGTGCGTAAACCAGTAAATATGACGCTTGCACGAGGATAAATATAAAATAATTACGATTTAAATACAGGGTGATTTTTTTATCATAACCCACTCAATTACTTACAGAATAATAATAATTTAAACAATTTTTTTTTTCATTATTTTTAGTGTAACTAAAAATTATTCTTGAATTTTTAACTATGTAATACTTTTTAAGTTCATCCTTTATGCCTTGGAGGGGGGTCAACTTTGTTTTTTTAAATGGTAACACATATTTTTAATTTAATAAAATGTTTGAGTTTTTAATTTAATAGTAAATGGCATTTGAATTTTTAATATAACTTAATTCGTTTATTAGATATAATCATTTAAAGTTTCAAATTTTTGAATTAATATACAGGTATAATACACAAGGGATTACAAATACAGGTAGCTAATTGGTTTTTTATAACATCGATATTAGCAGGTACACAGCATTGTTATTATCAATTGTAGTAAGGCACATTGTTATGAGTTTATAAATACACTAACTGACAATACAGAAAGTATATCTATTGATAATCATAATTGATAATAAACAATCCGTGACTGAGACAGCAATGTCATAAAAATCCAATTAGCTACCTGTATTTACAATCCCATGTGTATTATACATGTATATTAACTCAAAATTTTGAAACTTTAAATGTTTATATCTAATAAGCTAATAAAGTTATATTAAAAATTCAAATGCCATTTACTATTAAATTAAAAACTCAAACATTTTATTAAATTAAAAATATGTGTTACCATTTAAAAAAACAAAGTTGACCCCCCTCCAAGGCATAAGGGATGAACTTAAAAAGTATTACATAGTTAAAAATTCAAGAATAATGTGTAACTAAAGAAAATAAAAAAAAAAATGTTTAAATTATTATTATTCTGTAAGTAATTGAGTGGGTTATGATAAAAAAATCACCCTGTATATTCTAAAAATTAAACATTATAGTTAAACAAATAATTGATCACTTGCGAGGTATTAATTTTAATATATTCAAGAAAAATATACTTATTTTAAAACGTGAACTTAAACTAATGTCGTCAAAAACCTTACAATAATTGAATATTTTAATTTTACTTTGATCAATTTGCTGGTTTTTTTTTTTGTAATAATTAATTGATTTACTCAAGTCTGAATAATTTTATTTAACAGGTAAAAATGAACTATTATTGCAAAATACATACTATTTTACTGAAAGTAATACTTTTAAATGTTATAAGTGTTTATACAAATGATGAATTTAGTCAGAATACTGAAAATAAAACATCTATTACTATTGACGATTTGAATATACTCATCAGAGAATATCCTGCATTTTTACAGTTGAAATTACAAAAACAAGAATATTACACAGGAAAAGATATAGCTCGTTGTCCTTTACCTTACAACGAAANTGCGAGGTATTAATTTTAATATATTCAAGAAAAATATACTTATTTTAAAACGTGAACTTAAACTAATGTCGTCAAAAACCTTACAATAATTGAATATTTTAATTTTACTTTGATCAATTTGCTGGTTTTTTTTTTTGTAATAATTAATTGATTTACTCAAGTCTGAATAATTTTATTTAACAGGTAAAAATGAACTATTATTGCAAAATACATACTATTTTACTGAAAGTAATACTTTTAAATGTTATAAGTGTTTATACAAATGATGAATTTAGTCAGAATACTGAAAATCGAACATCTATTACTATTGACGATTTGAATATACTCATCAGAGAATATCCTGCATTTTTACAGTTGAAATTACAAAAACAAGAATATTACACTGGCAAAGATATAGCTCGTTGTCCTATGCCTTACAACGAAAATACGATATTAGACGATCCCGATGTTGTGTCGTCTGAATTATTCAACCCAAGGGAATGTAAAAAACCTTGGATATGGACGCGAAAAAATGAAATAGATGTTCCTGTACCTATTAACGGTACAGTTGGTAAAAAATTAGGAGATATCATTAAACCATGTATTAAAAACAATACTAATATTATACAATGTTATACTCACTATCTAAATGTAATCGAAAGCGTTGGTTTAACATTTGCAGATAGATTTTGTTTATATATGATAGAAATGTATGATAGAATTTTGGTATTGACTAATAAAATAGATTATTTAAACAAATTTAGTTTGTTTAATATTAAAACTAATACATCAGTACTTCACTCGATTTTAAAAAATACTTATCAACTATTATTTAATATATATATTGCATTTAGTCGATACTATATTTCTACTCTACCTCTTGATTGTGTTATACATCTCAAGGTGAATGTGTTTAATATTAATAAAGGGAATAATGCATTTGTTCAAAAACTTAAAGAACAATTTTTAAATTGTCGGGAATTAATGAAATCAAAACTAAATTATGCTGTATTAGGCAATATTGAGAACTGGGAATGGGATATTACTTCTGATAACAAACCTGATGACACTGTATTAATGACTACACAATACAAAAATGATAAAGTAGGATTAAATCTATTTCCGTACAACGAAAGAAAATAAATTTAATTTTTTGTATAAACAAAGAATAAGTGTAAATATTATTTATTGAAAAATTTATTTTTATATTAACCATAAAATTTTGAGTTAATTATTTATTATATTAGTTTTTAAGGATTACAGACTAATATATATACACACTTACATATTTAAATACTACATAGATCACTGGTTTTACATGGCAACCTCTTCTAACATCAGTGACTCTATTACAGCACTATACACTAACATGTTAGTCAGCTTTTGGAGTGGTATACTACGTAACTGACCAAGGGTAAAAAAAGTCGTGTTGACTGGGTATGTTGTATTATTATATCAGTTATAATTGTTTATGTAAATGATGAATTTAGTCAGAATACTGAAAGTCAAAAATCCATAACTATTAATGATTTGATATACTCAGCAGAGAATATTCCGCATTTATACAGTTATTATTTATTATAATTTATTCAGTTATTTGTAATTACAAAAACAAGATTATTACACAGGAAAACATGTATCTCGTTGTCCTATGCCTTACAACGAATATACTATATTAGACGATCCCGATGTTGTGTCGTCTGAATTATTCAACCCAAGGGAATGTAAAAAACCTTGGATATGGACGCGAAAAAATGAAATAGATGTTCCTGTACCTATTAACGTTACCATTGGTAAAACATTAGGAGATATCATTCGACCGTGTATTAAAAACAATACTAATATTATACAATGTTATACTCACTATCTAAATGTAATCGAAAGCGTTAACATTTGCAGACAGAAATTGTTTGTAACAATTGAATATTGGGATAGAATTTCATTATATCTAAAAATATAGATTATTCAGAAAAATTTAGTTTGTTTAATATTAAATTTTATGTTCCACAATTTGTCTTTATTTTAGATAATTTTTAACAACTTTTTAAAAATATTTATGATGCATTTATACAGTATTATATTTCTACTCTACCTCTTGGCTGTATTGCGAATATAACTCGTATGATTTTTGGGACTGATAAAAAGAGTAAGTCATACCACAAAAAATAAAAAAAATCAATTCTCATTNAAAAAGAGTAAGTCATACCACAAAAAATAAAAAAAATCAATTGTCATATTGTCGAGAATTAATGAAATCAAAACTAAATTATGCTGTATTAGACAATGTTGAGAACTGGGAATGGGATACTAATTCTGATGACAAACCTGATGATACTTTATTAATGACCATGCAATACAAAAATGATAAACTAGGATTCAATCTATTTCCGGATAAAAATCCAAAATAACTTAAATATTTTAATTTTATTTCTGTGTAAACTAAATTTTTGTTAAAATAGTTTATTATGTTAAATGTTGTATTTAAAAATATTACGGCATCGATGACTGTAGCAATAAAAATTGTTCATTAAAAAATATCAAATTTAGATTAATCTATCTAATTTTACTAGTTATTATCATTGTAAAATATTTCAATATAAATATTTATTTATTTTATATTTAATATATTTTCATTGATTAGTAATTTAATTTGAATATATTATTTAAATAAAAATGATTACATTTATTTATTTATGTAAAAGCTATAAAACTTACCTAATGATTTAATTATCAAGACCTTGATAAAGTAATAATACATGGTAAGTATGAAGGATCATAAAAGAAAATCTATTTATATGTTATTAATATTATAAATAGTGATTCTTTTAATACCAACCACTAAATTATTTACCATATTATTTAATAATTTATTTGCAAATAGCCTATCAGCTATTATGTCTTTACCTTTCATTTGTTTATATTTTTTATAAATCTGATCCTTTACGTGCCCATAAGGGGGAATTTAAAACTTTTTCAAAAAAAAAATTAACTTTGTCAACTTAACTTTAAAAAATGTCCCTGAAATACTTCAAACTTTAAATATATATTATATTGCTTAAAAGCTTATGATATATATTATAAGTTCATATTTAGAAATGGCCACCGAATCAATCAAAAAATGTAATTTTTATATAATATCACTGTTTAACACGTTAATATTTTGATATTAAAAACTTTTTGAAAAATAAATAGATCAAAATAGTTTATTTATATTGAAACCTTATTTATTTCCCTTTCATTTGATATAAGTTTTTTGATGGTCAGGTATCATCTATACTGGACTCAACTGTGCTACATCCCTATTGTGTCACGACCCTAATGTGCTAGGTTTTTTTAAAATGCTAACATACATATTTAATCAGCTTAAAAAATATGAAATAATCTAATTAAGGAAATAACTTGTTAATAAATACTCTGCTAGAGTATTCCAGAGTTATTAATAATTTATTGTAATCACTAGAGGTAAGAGAGTTGGTAATGCTATTTTTATCACTAATCATATTTTGGTCATACTTATCGATTTGCTTATGATGAGAATAACATCCAATGTATTAGTTCAAATGTTCTTATCGACTAGTCATTTTTTATTAGATAATTTCATATTTTATAAGTTTATTAAATATCCATGTTATCATTTAAGAATCCATTAAAGAAATGTTATCATAGGTAAAAATTAGGAGAAATCATTCAAACGTGTCTTAAAAACAATACTAATATTATACAATATTATACTCACTATCTAAATGTAATAAAAAGCGTTGATTTATGTTGTACACCAAAAAATAGGGTTAATGGAAAGGGGTATTGAAAATAAATAACTATCCTTTTTCTCGGGCTGTGTTGTTCGAGGGTCTATGTTTGTTAGCATTAATTTGCAAGCTGAGTTTGAATGTTCTTACCTGAGTTTTAACTATCCTTCAGACCTCCAGAATAGTGATAAAAAGAACGCAATGCCAAACAGTTGTTGATGAAAAAAATAATATAATGTAACTTCACATATATTTATATAAAATCAATTGTAATAATCACGCGAAGTTTATGGAGAGATAATATTCTTAATTAATCAACACAACCTTAAATATTAATATATACACTTATAATTATTCAGTGATGTTAAATTAATTTAGCTCGCGAGAACCAGACGATGAGAGCGACATGTCCGTATGTCGGTTTTATCGAAACAGGACGAGGCGTCCATCCCTGCGTCTCTCCTGGTGTTCTTCTTATAACCCCTTCCAGAGACGCACATATTCATCGTCCGGTTTTCATTTACTTCGCATTTTTTATGAATTTCATGATTTTGTATATACATTTAAAAAGGGTTCTTTGACTGAAAATAATAAATGGAAACATTTGATTTTTGAAGGGTGCATGTGCGACGAAAAAGAAGAGCGGATGACTTATGGCGTAATTGTGTCAACTATGTGTTGGATGTGATTAAGAACAGAAAATATTGATTGTGTATAGTATTTATTGTGAGAAGTATTGTATAATAGGGTAGAATATTTGTTTGTATTGAGAGATGAAAGAGAAGAGAAAGAAAAAGTTTTTTTATGTATAGGACCTATTACAACATTTAACATTTGCAGATAGATTTTATTTATTTCTAGAAATTTGAGATAGAATTTTAGTATTGACTAAAACAATAGATTATTTAAAAAAAATTAGTTTGTTTAATATTAAAACTAATACTTCAGTACTTCACTTGATTGTACAAAATACTTATCAACTATTATATAATATATATGATGTATAATATTAGTAAAGGGAATATTGCATTCGTTCAAAAACTTAGAGAACAATATTTAAATTGTCGGGAATTCATGAAATTATGCTGTTTAAGACAACGATCAGTACTGGGAATGGGATATTACTTCTGATTGCAAACCTGATGACACTGATATAATGACCACACAATATAAAAATGATATAATAGGATTAAAACTATTTCCTTATAAGGTACCAAAATAATTTTTCAAGACATTTTTTTTTTTTATGTGTATGAACAATGAATAATTGTAAATCTAATTTGTGTAGTTTATTATATGTTGTAATTAAAAATATCAGACAGCGATTATTGTAATAACAATTGTTCAAGACAACGATCAGTACTGGGAATGGGATATTACTTCTGATTGCAAACCCGATGACACTGTATTAATGACCATAGAATAAAAAAATACTCAACTAAGATTAAATCTATTTCTGTATAAGGAACCAAAAAAAAATGTTATTTTAAGTATAAACAAAGAATAACTGTAAATATAATTTGTTTTGTTTATTATATGTTGTACATAAAAATATTACAAGAGCAATGATTGTAAAAAAAAATTTCATTAATTAAAATAATAATGAAATATTTCAAACCTGCATTTACTTATTTTATATTTGTTTCAATGTATAATTATTATATGTATTATACAATTATATAATATTTTTTCAACTCAAAAAAAAAAGCTTTAAACTATTACTTTTTATGAGTGAAATGGGTTGAACGCCTCCATACGATTGACTAGTGTCAAACATGGTATACCACTATTCTAGTCGAATGTATGGCCCAAGCTGACGAGCTATTTGTTTGTAGTTTGGTCATTATTTGCAAGTCATTAGGTTAAAGAACGTAACATCATTCATATTACATTGCAAGTGTAATATTCACAACTAATAATTAATTAAATAATAAATAAAACGAAAAGGACGGTCTTGAAATGCGTCGCTCACAGTTGGCTATCTAAAAGTATTATCAAATACATTAACATGACTGATGGTTTTGTAACAGGACTGCTACGTTGAGAAACCTAAAATCAATAGGGGTACATATACAACATAATAAAAAAATTCGCCACACGTACTTATGGTAAGGCGCACTAAAAAAAAAAAAATTCTGCCTCAAAATATGATCTAAAAACAAATATACTTTACCAACCCCGAAAAGCTAATGCATAAGAGGCAGTTTCAGCCAACGCCGTAAACTTAAATAAAATTAAATATTCAATAAAGCGGACACTCGCGTAAAACACGATGTTGTAGCAAACGCAACAAAAAAAAAATTCCCTGCTTTGGACGAAAATTAGGGTACTAGTTCCAACGTTGGCTTATTTCCTAAAACCGGCGTATCGAACAGGTCAGACTAACAGAATCTCCTAGAAGACTCGAGCCTTTGAGAAGTGTCGGAAATTACAGGAACCAAGATAGCAAAATTATTTATTACCCACTGGACAATGTAAATACAATGATACGTTTAGTGGTGTTTAATGCATCGGAGAACAAGAAAGGTTGGCGAGTGGAGTGTACACAATTTAATATCTGTAAGCCTGTTGGCCGATGAGCATTTATAATACAGATAACACAGTTAACGCACACAAACTTATTACAAATTATCCAAACAATTTATTAAACGCTGTCGCAATACGCATTCTTCTCAACCAAAATAAGTAGAAATATAAATACATACAAATATACAAAAAATGAACAGGAACATATTGTCACGTTAAGAATTTTTTTATTTGCAACATGTATATTTAACTTGTTTATAAAATAGAAAATGATCTAATTAATGAAATGACTCACAACTCTAGGAATAATATTTGAAAGTTTTTTGTATTTTAAAATATAAATTCAAGTGAAGCTTGGTAGTTACAATTTTTATCATCATTCATTTTTTGGCATATTCCTTTTTCCGCCTAACCATAAAATTATGAACGTATTCCGTAACATTAATCCAAAATATTTATCGACCAGTTACTTTCTTAATTACGAAATTTTTTTTTATACATTAGATAAATTTGTATGTTGCTATTTAAAAATATAATTTTGACATCTCTAAAAAATATACTTGATGAAAAAAAAAATTCATATCATATATAGAGATACATATGTAGCTAACAAAAGCAAAAACACAACTTATTATTTTGAAAAAATCGAGTGCCTGCCATTAAAATAATTACTTTATATAGTCAGAATTACTTAATAAATGTATATTAAAGTCGGCTAAACTATATGAAAAGTACTCTTTAATATAATTATTTTGTCATTAAAAGAACTGCATAATATACTTTAAAAAAGTATACACTTAAGACTAAGAACCGTCACATTATCAGAAACTTATTTTATAATCCCTATGTTTTAAAAATATTTCAATATGAAGTATAAAATTTACCAAAAAAAAATTTTTTTTAATCACGTTAAAATATATAAAGAGTACATAAACCAACAAATAATGATGCTAAAATAGGTTACATATAAAGTAATTACGATTTAAATAAATCCTAAAAAAGATCTTTACTGTAAAACAAATAATTGATCACTTGAGAGGTATAAATTTATAGTTTTCAAGTACATTTTTTTTTGATAAATTTAACGTTTTATTTTCATTTCATAATATCTAATTAAACTAGTTTCTGAATATTTTTACTGTAACAGGTAAAAATGAACTATTATAACAAAGTTTGTATTATTTTACTAAAAATAATACATTTTAAAATAATAATTAATTATTATTAAATAATAATTTTTTATGTTATAACTGTTTATACAAATGTTTATACTTGTAATAATCATCTATGCAAGGATAGACAATTATATTAAAAATCCCTCTCCTCTCCTCGGGATTATATAATTCCGGAGCCCCTGTGTAAAATTATAGGCGCAATCTGGATGGTCAAAAAGGGATTAACTTCCTAATTCTGCCACAGCATCCCAAAAATTAAGAAAATTGCATATTAATTTATGTAGAATTATTTTTAATGGAAAAATAAGGTAGATCCTCCAAAAATTCTACATATATATGTAGAATAGAACTTTGTTGCACAGTAATGGAACTATTTTACAGGACTGGTAATCAAACCAAAAAATGAACGAATGTATTTTACTTTAAAACTCTGTCACGCGGTTATGGTTCCGTACTACGAGAACGGTAGTTAAATCTTGAAGCTGAACTGACCCAATGTAATTTAGGATCCTGTTGTACAGCAACAGTATGGCGTTGAATGCTTAGTACTAAAGCCGTGACAGTGAATAGAAAAAATGCTGCTAGGTAAAGTGTTATTTTATCTAGTCTTTATTGTGATATTTTACATTGTTTTGTGATTATTACTTGGAATTATTATTGAGAATAATATTGAAAAAGCTGTTTATATTGATCATTGTATTGTTTGTATTAGTGTCTTAGTTATAAGAGTGGCTGGACTGTTGCAATTCTCTGTGAGTACCATTAGAAGTGTTTATAATCAATTGAGTTAAGTATCTTCAGTTTATTATTATTGTTGTGAACAATATTTTATTAACATCGCCCAAAAAAATATAGCCAACTATTTTTTAAAGTTGGTTAGACTATACAAACAGTACACTTAATTATACAATTATATTGTCATCAAATGAATCATGTGGTGCAGTTTGCAAAGTATACACTTAACACTAAGAACTGTCAAATTATCAGAAACTTATTTTATATTACTTGTGTTATAAAAATATTTCAATTTGATAATTTGTCAAACAAATTTTTTTTTTTAACTACGTAAATATATAAAAATAGTACGTAAACCAGTAAATATGACGCTTGCACGAGGATAAATATAAAGTAATTACGATTTAAATATATCCCAAAAATTCAACATTATTGTTAAACTAATAATTTATCACTTGCGAGATATTAATTTTAATATATTCAAGAAAAATATAGTAATTTTAAAACGTGTACTTAAACGAATCTCATATAAAACCTTACAATAATTGAATATTTTAATTTTTCTTTGATCAATTTGCTGGTTTTTTTTTTGTAATAATTAATTGATTTACTCAAGTCTGAATAATTTTATTTAACAGGTAAAAATGATCTATTATTGCAAAATACATAATATTTTACTGAGAGTAATATTTTTAAATGTTATAAGTGTTTATACAAATGATAAATTTAGTCAGTATACTGAAAATCAAACATCTATTACTATTGACGATTTGAATATACTCATCAAAGAATATCCAGCATTTATACAGTTAAAATTACAAAAACAAGAATATTACACAGGAAAAGATATAGCTCGTTGTCCTTTACCTTACAACGAAAATACGATATTAGACGATCCCGATGTTGTGTCGTCTGAATTATTCAACCCAAGGGAATGTAAAAAACCTTGGATATGGACGCGAAAAAATGAAATAGATGTTCCTGTACCTATTAACGGTACAGTTGGTAAAAAATTAGGAGATATCATTAAACCATGTATTAAAAACAATACTAATATTATACAATGTTATACTCACTATCTAAATGTAATCGAAAGCGTTGGTTTAACATTTGCAGATAGATTTTGTTTATATATGATAGAAATTTGGGATAGAATTTCAGTATTGAATAAAAAAATAGATTATTTAAAAAAATTTAGTTTGTTTAATATTAAAACTAATACTTCAGTACTTTACTCAATTTTAAAAAATACTTATCAACTATTATATAATATATATGTTGCATTTAGTCGATATTATATTTCTACTCTACCTCTTGAATGTGTTGCCAATGTCACGGAAAAAATATTAGATAGTAATAATATTATATTCTACAAAATGCGAAGTAAACAATTGTCATATTGTCGAGAATTAATGAAATCAAAACTAAATTATGCTGTATTAGACAATGTTGAGAACTGGGAATGGGATACTAATTCTGATGACAAACCTGATGATACTTTATTAATGACCATGCAATACAAAAATGATAAACTTGGATTAAATCTATTCCCGTACAAGGATCCAAAACAACTTTAAATTTTTTTTTTATTTATTGTATAAACAAAGAGTAATTTGAAGTATAGTTTATTTTGTTAAATGTTAAGTATAACAATATTACGACAGTGACAATTGCAGTAATAAAAATTGTTCATTAAATAAAATGAAATTTAGATTAAACTAATTTTACTAGTTAATATCATCGTGAAATATTTCAAACTCGTATTTATTTATTTTATATTGGGAATGGGATATTACTTCTGATAACAAACCTGATGACACTGTATTAATGACTACACAATACAAAAATTATAAAGTAGGAATAAATCTATTTCCGTACAACGAACGAAAATAAATTAAATTTTTTGTATAAACAAAGAATAATTGTAAATATTATTATAATATTATTTATTGAAAATATTATTTTTATATTAGTCATAAAATTGTGAGTTAATTATTTATTATATTAGTTTTTAAGGATTACACACCAATATACACTTACATATTTAAATACTACATAGATCACTGGTTTTACACGGGCAACATCTTCTAACACCAGTGATTCTATTACAGCACAGTACACTAACATGTAAGTCAGCTTTTGGTGTGGTATACCACGTTACAGACCAAGGGTAAAAAAAAATTCGTGTTGACTGGGTAAGTAATCTTTTATATATTACTACTGGCCCATACAAATATAGTTTATTTATTTTTTAAAGTTGGCAAAACTTTATAAAAAGTGCTCTATTTTTTATTATATTATTAATTATTGAACTATGTAAATAGTTTTTATAATATGTAACATTAATTGTACTTTAGCCAAGTATATACTTAAGACATAGAACGGTCACATTAAACAAACACTTTTTATACAAATTATATTTTTTAACTGCGTAAAAATATATAATAAGTACGTGAACCACCAAATATGACGCTTGCTCGAGGATAAATATAAAGTAATTACGTTTGAAATAAATCTCAAAAAATGAACATCAGTGTTAAACAAATAATTGATCACTTGCGAGGTATAAATTTTAATATATTCAAGATAAATATAGTAATTTTAAAACGTGTACTTAAACTAATATCGTTAAAAAGCCTTAAAAAAATTTAATATTTTAATATTTTCTTTGGTAATTTGCTGTATTTTTTTTTCTAATAACTAATTGGTTAACTAGTGTCTGCAGTGCTCGAATTGGCCAAAAATAAGTAGGGGAGCTCAACTTAACAATTTGAAAACTGCGTCCCTAGTATTTTGAAGACCTCTTTTTTTTTTTACTCATTACTTTATTTAGTATTTATTAATAAATCATATTTCATTATCATACTAATATTTAAAAAAAAAAAAAGAGGTGGTATTTTCCACCGTCCTCCCGTCCCAATAAAAAAAAGTAGTTGGGGTGCGCAAAAAAATTAAAAAAAAAGTAGAGGAGCTACGTCCTCCTGCGCACCCCCCCAATTCGAGCACTGAGTGTCTGAATAATTTTATTTAACAGATAAAAATGAACTATTATAGCAAAATACATATTATTTTACTAGAAATATTCATTTCAAATGTTATAATTGTTTATACAAATGATGAATTTAAACAGAATATTGAAAATGAAACATCTATAACTATTGACGATTTTAATATACTCATCAGAGAATATCCTGCATTTATACAGTTGAAATTACAAAAGCAAGAATATTACACTGGCAAAGATATAGCTCGTTGTCCTTTGCCTTACAACGAAAATACTATATTAGACGATCCCGATGTTGTGTTGTCTGAATTATTCAACCCAAGGGAATGTAAAAAACCTTGGACATGGACGCAAAAAAATGAAATAGATGTTCCTGTACCTATTAATGATACCATTGGTAAAAAATTAGGAGATATCATTCGACCGTGTATTAAAAACATTACTAATATTATACAATGTTATACTCACTATCTAAATGTTATCGAAAGCGTTGGTTTAATATTTGCAGATAGATATTGTTTCTTTCAAATTGAAATTTGGTATAGAGTTTTAGTAATGGTTAATAATATAAATTATATAGAAAAATTTAGTTTGTTTAATATTAAATCAAATATTTCAGTTTTAAACTCGATTTTCACAAATATTAATCAACTTCTAAAAAATATATATGCTGCATTTACACTGTATTATATTTCTACTGTACCACTTGACTGTGTTTCTTATGTCACGAAGGTAATATTTAATATTGAAGGGAGTTATGAATAATACAAAGAACAAAGAGAACAGATCCTTATATGTGGGAATGAACGAAATTAAAAAGAAATTATGCTATTTTAGAAAATGATCAGTACTGGGAATGGGATATTACTACTGATTGCAAACCCGATGACACTGTATTAATGATTACAGAATACAAAAATACTCATCTAGTATTAAATCGATTTCCGTTCAAAGAACCAAAAAAATTTTTCTTTTAAGTATAAACAAAGAATAATTGTAATTATAATTTGTTTTGTTTATTATATGTTGTACATAAAAATATCACAATAGCAATGATTGTAAAAAAAAATTTCATAATTCAAAATAATAGTGAAATATTTCATACCTGTATTTACCTAATTTAAATTTGTTTCAATATATTTTTATTAATTAGTTGAATTTTAATAGAATATACACATGAAAATTAATAAATTATTATAATTGAGTTATATTGTCACAAACTCTTTTTATATTAATTCTGTTCTAAAAATCTTTCAATATGATAATAAAGAATAATAATATTATCTGAAAAAAGTTATAATTTTTTTTAATTGAATTAAAACATTATTTTATTCACAACTAATAGACTTATGACAGCTGTTATACTTTAATTATATTTGTTGATCTGAAGGTTTTTATTTAAAAATAATTAACAAATATTAAGTATAATATTTGTCATTTTTACTACAAAAAAGAAAGTGTTGAAATTCGAAGTAATTTTATTTATACAAATCGTTAGGATACACGTCGAGTTTGACCATAATGAATAATAACCCTGCCATTAAGATGGCACCCTTAAAAAAATTAAATGCTGGTCGCCAACTTCCTGGTCAAGACAATATATTGTTGTACTATGGTAGGATCTTAAAAAAAGAATAGAAAATTAAGCATTGAAGTTAATTTAATATTTCCGGAAGTAATAAGAATTAATTAAAATATATATTGTTTGATTTTTATTGTAATTAAGTTAGCTACTAGATAAAAAAAAATGGAGTTTGTTTTTATAATTGAATATGTCAAAATAATATTAAATGTTGAAATAATAGTAGGCTTATAAAGTAATTAAAGTTCTAACAGATGTCCATTGAATTGTTGACAGCTGTGTACACCTAAACGTTGTGACAAGTTTTCACATAACTAGGATTAAAATGGGATTATCTTATATAAGGCCATTGTTCGTCTTTATAAACTAGAAGAAGATGATTTTTGAAGGGTAAAAATAAACAAGTCCATTAAGGGTGGAAAACGTCGAAAAAGTAGTTTGTGGTTACATTAAATTAAGGAGATTTTATTAAATCAAACGTAAATTAAGTTAACCTGAGTAAAAAAATCAAACGTTCAAAATGACTCATCTGCAAATTAAAAGAAACAAATAAAGAGACAAATATAAATCGTAACTAAAAAAAAATATTACATCTATTTTAACTTTTATTATTATAGAATACGACCAAGGTCGTCTTTGTGTACCAGGAAGAAAATTTTTAAACATAATTTATTAAAATGTGACAATGTAGTTGATGAGTAGTAAAAAATATTGTACAAGGGGGACAGGATGAGTGTACACACAAATGCTGCCTATGTGCCGGTTCAAAGTAGTAGATAGTTGGCTATTTTGCACATACATAACACTTCACCATGAATTATAAATATAATATATGCTGTCGATACACAGAGTCAGCTCAACCAAAGTAAAATACTAACAGATAATACAAATATAAAAAAAAGTAAGGGGTACATTTGTGTTACATTATAAAACACATTAAACAATTAGAAATAGTTATTTAAGATTTATAGAACAAATTTAGGTAACTAAAAATTTGTTTTTACTATAGAGCTTTTATCATATGCTCATAATGTTTATACCACTCAATTGTATCAAAACACAAATAAACATGAATTTTTTATAATAAACAATTTAAAAAAAACAACTGGGATTATTTTATGTTTATTAATTTGACATTGCAAGAGTACAATTATCATACAGAATCACCTTTAAAATATAAATCTTAATTTTTTAATGTTTAGTAAAGTTATAAATAAAAAATATGATAGAATATATAATTTACTTTTCAAATATACCTGTAGATAATATCAACTTGTATTAAATAGTTTATATTAAAAATAAATTATTTGCGCTGTAGTGCGTAAACCAGAATATATGACGCTTTCAAGAGGATAAATATAAAGTAATTACGATTTAAATATATCCCAAAAAATTAAACATTATTGTTAAACTAATAATTTATCACTTGCGAAGTATAAATTTTTATATATTCAAGAAAAATGCAATAAGCTTAATACGTTAAAGTAAACGAATCTCATATAAAACCTTACAATAATTGAATATTTTAATTTTACTTTGATCAATTTGCTGGTTTTTTTTTTTTTTGTAATAATTAATTGATTTACTCAAGTCTGAATAATTTTATTTAACAGGTAAAAATGAACTATTATTGCAAAATACATACTATTTTACTGAAAGTAATACTTTTAAATGTTATAAGTGTTTATACAAATGATGAATTTAGTCAAAATACTGAAAATCAAACATCTATTACTATTGACGATTTGAATATACTCATCAGAGAATATCCTGCATTTTTACAGTTGAAATTACAAAAACAAGAATATTACACTGACAAAGATATAGCTCGTTGTCCTATGCCTTACAACGAAAATACGATATTAGACGATCCCGATGTTGTCAAGTTTGACTGTTTCAACCCAAGAAAATGTAAAAAACCTTGGACATGGACGTGTAAAAATGAAATAGATGTTCCTGTACCTATTAACGGTACAGTTGGTAAAAAATTAGGAGATATCATTGGACCGTGTATTAAAAACAATACTAATATTATCCAATGTTATACTCACTATCTAAATGTAATCGAAAGCGTTGGTTTAACATTTGTAGACAGATTTTGTTTGTTTGAAATAGAAATCTGGGATAGAATGTCAATAATCGTTGATAAAATAGATTATATAGAAAAGTTTAGTTTGTTTAATATTAAAACTAATATGGCAATGCTTTCCTTAATTGTAGTAAATTTTAAAGAACTTTTAGATAATATTTATGTTGCATTTAAACAATATTATATTTCTACTCTACCTCTTGACTGTATTGCAAATGTCATGAAGAAAATGTTTGAAAATACTATAAAGACTGAAAAAGCGTTTCAAAAATTTAGAGAACAATATGTAAGTTGTCGGTATTTATTGAATTCAAAAAGAAATTATGCTATTTTAGTCAATGATCAGTACTGGGAATGGGATATTACTTCTGATTGCAAACCTGATGACACTGATATAATGACCACACAATATAAAAATGATATAATAGGATTAAAACTATTTCCTTATAAGGTACCAAAATAATTTTTCAAGACATTTTTTTTTTTTATGTGTATGAACAATGAATAATTGTAAATCTAATTTGTGTAGTTTATTATATGTTGTAATTAAAAATATCAGACAGCGATTATTGTAATAACAATTGTTCATTAAATAAAATCAAATTTAGATTTAACTATCTAATTTTACTAGTTAATATCATTGGGGAATATTTCAAACTCGTTGTTATCTATTTTATATTAATTATGATGTAATTTCATTATTTAGTAATTTAATTTGAACAGAATATATACATGATAATAAATAAATAATTTAATTTTGAATGTTTTGAAAATCATACAACTTTTATATGATAATAACAACTCCCTAATAGAGTAGTATTGCATTCTAATTATAATAGATCAGTACAGCAAGTAAAATTATATACTATTTGCATTATACATTGATGTCGAAATAATATAAAAAACAGAACACACTTATAATCTACCAGTTTCAATATACAGGGTGTTCAGTAAGTCAGGAAACGGGTATCTATTGTTCTCATTGTTACAAACAATGAGAACAACAGATACCCGTTTCCTGACTTACTGAACACCCTGTAGTAACTTAGCCAGTGTATTCGGTTCAAAATAAACCAAAAGAATGTAATAAAAATTTCTTTAACCGTAGTAGTATATTACGGTATATTATCATATTGTTATACACTGAAATATCCATATACATTTTCAACATTAATTTTTATTTAATTGACATTTGGCAGGTTATATGTCCTACTAATAAAAATTCTGAATATATATTTAATTACAGTTATTATGAACATTAAATACAATATAGTACAAATTTTAGTTTTCAGTGTTTTTATCAGATGATAGACTGCTGTCGCTCGGCATTGTAAATTAAATGAGCTAAAATTTTAAAAAGGAAAATTAAGTTAATTAACCTTTATACTTTTTTAAGAATCCAACATTCAAATTTAATCTGTATGATATAGTATATGTAATATCATACATATTAGATGTATGACATGTATAATATGTAATGGGCGAAGTGGTGATGATGAACAAACGGTAGTCGACACAATTAAAAAAAAAAAAATCAGCGTAGAGCCATTTATTGGCACAAAATCAAGATAAAACAACAATTACAAATAATGTTGCACTTTGTACATGGTGTTAGTAGTTCGACTATCATATACACGTAGAAGGTCGACGGCTGATAAAGGTGGCACAGGTCGCGGAGCAACGTAGCGACGCAGAACCGTGTCAAATATCAAATAAACCAAAAAATATAAATATAATATCTAACATCGATTTATATCGAATAACACTATTATAGTAATATTAAATAAATATTTCCTGAATATAACTGAATTTGGTAGGAAATGTTTTAATATTTTGAAATAATTAACAAATAATACATATAACTTCTATTTATAAAAATTAATAGAATGGTGATTTATACACTTATTTATAAGTTATGTATTGTATTAACTTAAATATTAAAAATATTAAAATTTCAAAAATTACATTCTCAAATATAAAATTAAATTTAATATTATTGAAATTCACATTCAGCTTAGTTTGATTTAAGTAAACATAAATTTAAAAAATGGCGCATTATAAGTAATATTAAGATACAAATTAAATTTTGTCCTCAGCTGTATTATTTTTTCATATACTATTTAACATAATCTAATTATTCTTCATTTATGTCTTCATCATCGTAATTAAAATCTGAAATTTAATCTATCATTTATTGATCTTGTATATTTTTTAATAAACTATATGGAATATAATTTTCAAATGTGTTTTAATAGTTTTTTTAGAATAATAATTAAATTTTTTTATATATTTTAATAAAATTTAGTTTAAAACATCATTTTTTAAAGTATTGGCAATGAAATTTACTAATTGTTGAAATACTTTTTAAGCAATTAAAAATAGTTATTTATCTTTCGATATAATAAAGTAGTTTAAATTAAAACATACTGTAGAATTGTAAATAAAATTAATTATTTTTTTACATACCTAACACGCAATTTTCAATGATATCTAAAGGTTTAGTTTCAAATAAATTTTCATGGGAAACAGATCTTCTAATAGTTTTATATACATTTTTGTAAGGTAATAGGGATGCAGTGAAATATTTTAGATTATTTACTTCATTATTTATATCAATGATTGTACTATAATACCAATCTTCAGTAATTCTATTAGGAATTTGAATATTAATACTGAACTCTAATTGGTTGATTTGCATAGGTTTTGAACACATAGACAATAAGTTTGAAATCAAGTCAAAATACCTTGATGATGTAGAACTGTTAATTTCAAAATTTAAAATTTCATCAAATCTATTTTGTACAACAAAGAGGTATTGTGTTGGTTTTTTTGAGAACAAATTTAAATTTAAAAAGTTTTTAAAGTGACTTTTTAATAAAATACCGATTTTGCTTAAAACATCAGCATATTTCGTAGATCTATTATCAATAATAATGATTTGTTTGAATGCAACCAAATAATTACTAATTGTTTTGAAAAATGGAAGAATAGTTGCAGCTAACACCTGTTGTTGAAATGATTTGACAAAGTTTGCATTAAAATTGAGCACAACACAATCAAAAGCTTCAAATATACTATTTTTAATACTACTATTACGATTTGTGTTTACAATTGTTTCCCTCATAAGATTTAACATATTTTTATTTTCTGAGATTCTATTTGATCGATCAGATATGTTAAAAGAAGGGTCTACAATTGAGCTATCAGTCATTAATTCATAAAACAGCATATTAGAAGGATGGAAGTCAAAATTGCTATCGTTGTCCAGTGATTTTTTAAATGCTGTAAACCCACTAAATTTCAACATTTGCAAATCTTCTAGTAATCTTCTTTTATTATTTTTAGTATTTTTTCGATTTATATCATCCACCACTCTTTTTAATTCTTTAAATTGTTCGTTGATAAATGTTTGTGAACATGACTGACATTTAGATTCTACAAAATTAGAAAGGTGTTCAATCATAATATTATAATTTTTAACAAAATTTTTTCTTATATATTTTAAAGTATTCTTATTTATTGATTTATTATTATCATTTTCTAATGACTTTATGTTTAAATTTCCTTTAAGATTGTTAAGATACAAATTAACTGTCATCAAATCAGTTGGATAGATATTATATTTTCTTCTACGTAGTTCATCAAGCATGATTAAAATATACTCAGATTGAGATTGCAAGTTAGAGTTATAATAAATTAGGCTATCTAAGGAAAACTGTCCATGTGTATTATCTTGGTAGTGGTTTGCTATAAATCTTTCCTCATTTAATTGTATGAAGCGTAAGATGTAATTTGAAAAAAGACAATGTAAAGATGTTGCATCTTCGTCAATATATTTTATTGTTCCTACAACAATATTTTATATTATAAGCATATTTATTTATTATATATTTTCTGGCTAAATTAGTTTCTTATAAAATATTTTTTTTATAGATTTTTTAGCATCGATGCGAAGCTAAAAAGGTATTGGTTTTACTATGGTGTGTTTTTTTTGTATATGTTACCACTTTTTCTCAGCTCTCACCGAACCGATTTCTTTCAACGATACGTTAAAAGATCACAATTGTATCTAGTCGAAGACATTACCCTCAAAAATTGAAAAAATTAAATGGCGGAAAACTCCAAAAAAATTACAAATTTAAAAATCACTAATTTTTATATTTTTTCAATTTTTTTTACTTAAAACTGTCATAACTTTTTCAAGAATGACCAAATCAATATTATTTTTTAATTGTAGATGCGTGATGTCTTTACATATCATTTGGCATATTTTTTTATAAATCTGACTGTTTAATTGCCTACAGAGAGGGATTCAAAATGACAACTTTATTACAAAAAAATTGCTTTTTCAACTTAACTTTTGAAAGTGTTCCGGAAAGTCTGATACTTTTATATATATCTTAAATTAAAGTTATTGTAATGTACTTTATTATGAAAAAAAAAAATTCAGACTTTAGTTTGTCTTCATGGTGAAAATGGCTACCAAATGCTATTTTTGTGTGAAAATTCTCGATTTTACTTTTTACATTTTTAATTTTATAATGCTAAAATTTATTAAAAAGTGCATGGATTAACACAATTTTTTTATGAGAAATAATATTTATATCCCTTTTGCATTCCACATATTTTATCTTATTCAGGATATTAATAAGAAAATAGCAGATCATGTAGCTTTTGGAATAATCCACCAATTTTTAAAATTAAACATTATCTAAAGATTTGCATCGAAGTGTTTTTTTTGATAGTGATTTTAATTACTGTCAGATATCATTCTATTTGACTCCACTATGCCTCGTCACCACTATGATGCGATTCCCCTGTGCTGGGTTTTTTTTTATGATAAGCTTATCATTTACAAATAATACTACCTTTACATACCGTACGTCGTTCCATTCTTACCATTCCAGAGTATAAGTTCTTCATCTGAAGCAGTTTGACGATGTTTATCATATTTAATAAATCTACTATCATCTTTTTTGAAAGTCGAATATTGTGGAGGAGCATCAGTATTTTCATCCGAATGGTGGTATTTTTTCTCCTACAAATTATCATATATTATATTCAGTATGATTATTTGTAGACAAGTAAAATAAAAAAACTAGTATATATACACATGTTATTCTCATAAAGAACAATTGATTTATCGTTGACCACTAAACTTCTTCTAAAATAATTTTTTTTTTTTAATTTTCTTGTTTATTTAAGTATATTATCGAATATAAAATAGTTAAATAATTTTTATAATCATCTTTCGACCCTATAAAAATACCAGCGTTTTCTTTTAATAGACATATTTAACTAATTTATACAATACAAATGATCCAAATAAGGAAATGACTGGTCAAAATTAAATCAATTACATGTATATTATATTATATTAAGACATCCTTTGTACAGAATATATCAGATCGAAATGACAATTTTTGATCCAATTATAATTACCCTGTTATTTTATTTATTTTTTAACAATTTTTCTATTCTAAAATTTCGCTAGAAGCATATTAAATATTGTTAGTTTTTAATAAGAAATATTTGCATTTTAGTGATTTTCCTTCAAACAATTTTAATATTTAATTTTAATTTTAATAGATCGATACAAATTTTAGAACAAATACTTGCGTAGGTAAGTATAAATCATACTAGTATAATTGATACAATTCCGGATGCTTCATGATATACGGAGCTCCATAACCCGTATCAATTTTATCAACCGTCACCTTATTTATGTGAATAAATGTTAGTTTGACTAGTTAAAACCACGTGCAATATTTTGGAGGCATAAATTTCAACAAGTGCATGACTATCTGTAGTAATACTACGTATAGTTTACTTCCTGTTGTAAAAGTGACGGTGCAGAGGATATACGTCAATAACCTCAGAAGTACGACAGTCCAAACACCACCATACCAGCGTATGGTCGTCATCAACGCTACTAACTTCTATATGACCATGCCGGACATTATGTCACCGACGCTTGAGACAATGCCAAGAATTATACGAAGAATACTTATTTATTGCATCCCTCTTTTCGGTTTTTAAATAATCTGTTGTTGTTATTTAATAATAAACATTTTATGGATGTCTATCATTTAAGACAGAGTCGACTGCGTTATTTCCACATGAGTCGTATCATAATGTACGTTTCGCGTGTGCCAAATACTCATTCAAGTGATTAGAACTCTTGTAATTTAATAAGTACTTAAAGATAAATAATCAAAATATGTTTTTAATTAATTCTAAGAATGCAAGAAAAAAACAGCAAAATGGTGATATTATGAAATAAAATAGCTGACAGTGAGATTTGAGAATCCACTATAAATATATAAATGTTTTTTTATTAGGGTAGGCTAGATAAAAAAAAAGTTTAGATATGAACGTCTTCGTTCAATATATTTCATAAACATTACTATATAAACTTACTTCAGATCCATACTGATTTTTTTTTCTGAACAGATTTTCTTGTTTGTTATCAATAGGAGACGGTTTATTATTCATGGAAATTTGATTTTCAATATCAGTTTTTAGTTCGTTGAATTTTGAGCTATTCATTTTCTTATTAACCAATTTTGAATTATTTAAAGGTTCGGCATTATACTTTACAGGCTGATAATCATTTTGATTCAAAATACTGTTAATTTCAAACGAATTTCTTTTATTTTGGTAACTGCGGAAATCTTTTTTTGATTCATGATTAAAATTTTTATTTAAGTATTTATGTGGTGGATGTTCATCAGAAGAACCTGATGATTGCTTAGACTTATTTACTTTCACTTTGTTTTTTAGTTTGTCTTTTTCAAAATCTTTATATTGTATGTATTTATGTGTATGTTTATATGAGGGATCTTCGTCAGAACAACCTGATAATTCCTTAGACTTATATACTTTTACTTTGTTTTTTTGTTTATCTTTATCGAAATATTTTTCATGATCATTTTCATTAGAATTATGAGTTTTTGATTTATTTTTTGAGTATTTTTCTTCTAGACTGGAATGTTTATGTGGGGGATTTCCGTCAGAACAACCTGATAATTCCTTAGACTTATATACTTTTACTTTGATTTTTTGTTTATCTTTATCGAAATATTTTTCATGATCATTTTCATTAGAATTATGAGTTTTTGATTTATTTTTTGAGTATTTTTCTTCTAGACTGGAATGTTTATGTGGGGGATTTTCGTCAGAACAACCTGATAATTCCTTAGACTTATATACTTTTACTTTGTTTTTTTGTTTATCTTTATCCAAATATTTTCCATGAACAATTTCATTAGAATTACGAGTTTTTGATTTATTTTTTAAATATTTTTCGTTTAAACCAGAATGTTCATGTGAGGGATCTTCGTCAGAAGAACCTAATGATTCTTTAGATTTATTCTTTTCCATTTTTTTTATTTGTTTATATTTTGTGTTATATTTTCCATTATCACTTTCATTTAAGTTATAATATTTTAATTTATGTTTGGTGTAATTTTTATCTAAATTACAAATCCTCTTAGATTTCTTATCACCAAAATAAGTGTATGATGAGTCATTAACTTTTTTATTATATCCATTAGATTTATGCTTACCTTCTTTTAGTTTTTCAATTCGATAAACTCCATTAAGAAAATTACCTTGAGTTTTATAATTGGAACTAGTATGATCTAATTCCGATAATTTACGTGAATGGTGATTCTCAAATGAGCTAGATAAACTATAGGGTGAATGTTTGTACTTATTATTACTATTGTCTCTTTTGTGATAATTCTTCATTAATTTTTCAATTCGATAAACTCCATTTAAACGATTGTGTTTTAACTTAGATCTAATGTGAGGTTCATCTAGATCATACGTTTTATGTTTCCGGTATTCTTCAGAATAGGCACTTGATAAGCTTGATGATATATTATCCTTCTTTTTGTATGTAGGTTTATTTTTTTTATTATCTTTTTCTACATCTTTATAGTTAAAATGAGAATGATTTTCATCGGAAAAACTACTTGATGAGGGCTTAAATACTTTCTCTTTCTTTTTTTGTTTTTTAATATGTTTTTCATTACTTAATATTTTTTTACGATAATTTTCATTTTCATTTTGTAAAATTTGTTGAGAATTTATATTGGGTTGGTTTTCATCAGAACTAATTAAAACATTTTCATGTTTCTTATAATTATTATTATTATATGAGGTAGTATTTTTTTTAATATCTACTTCGTGGTATACTTTATTCACTCTGATAGGTGATTCGTGTTTAGAATAATTTTGATGTACCTTACCATTTATAAATGTTTTATTTGCATTATTCAAAGAAACGTTTTGTTCATTTTGGTTGTTATCAAATCCTTTTATATATGTTTTTATATCTTTATTTTCATCAGTTGCATTAATATTAACAAGTTTAGTTTTTTTTGATGAAAATAACGACATTTCGTCATAATGTACTAATCTACCTAAAAAGCATATAATATTTTTATTAAAGGTTATAGTATATATTGAATATAACACTGTCAACAAAGTATTGTATTTTCCTCAGTCGCACACCACGTTATCAACCTACATGGAAGTGTGCAGGGATTTAAATCATGAGTGCACGGTGATTTAGTAATAAGGTTTGTCTGTTCGATGCACCTTGGATTGCGGATTTTGTCCTGTACTGTAACTCTTTTTTAACACGCTTATATTAGTTTCACTTGTATGTTGTTTGTTGTGAGTTGTGGGATGTTTGTAACTTTCCACGCGGCACGTGTTATTATGTCGCGTATCCCGTCGTGTATGACCTTGAGACTATACTGTTGTAACGCATTCGCCCCACCCCGCTCACCACTCGTAGAGAATAATATTTTTAACCCGTAGACGCGCGCGTGTCATCAATTATATATATATATATATAACAAATTTTTATTGTGATTGACATGGCCCCGTGTCGTTTAACGCCGCGGTGCAAAATCCAGCAAGTGCCGCACAGTCGACGACGTCCCGCCGTTAATGATACCGTAGTCTTCTTCTCGTTGTCAAAGTGACGTCAACAAACCGATCCGCACTCGCGCACTGTTGTCATCTATGCTGCTAACCTTTTGACGCCCGAGGATCACGCCGGACATCGCATCGTCGACGCCAGCGACAGTGCCGCGAAATTATGGGAAGATCATATATTCTTACCACCACCGCTAATATTAATATATATATATATTGAAACGACTTACGTCGCAAAAATGTGGTCGACACTGGTTTTGAGGGTAGAGACCCGTGGGCCGTTTACTAAATGAGCGACAACAGATTATTTTAACAAAAATAAAACAAACCGAAAAGATAACACAGTAATAATAATTTTTGCATAATATCGCGGCACTTTCGCTGGCGTCGACGACGCGATGTTCGGCGTAATCCTTGGACGGCAAAATGGTTAGCAGCGTTGTAGGCGACGGTGCGCGGGTGCGGATCGGTTGGTCGACGTTGTCGCTTTCACAACGGGAAGAAGACTTCCGTATCATTTGCGGCGGGTCGTCGTTGGCCGTGCGGCATTTGCTGGATTTTGCACCGTAGCGTATGACACGCGGTGTTGGTCAGTCAAATACTCATAGTAGGGCGACGGCTGATAAGGTGGCACGAGTCGCGGGGCATCGTGTATAACGAAGCGACACGGGCCGTGTCAATATATACATATACATATATATATATATTAATATTTATACGTATATACGTATATGTTAATATTCATTTATATATTCCTACAGCCGACGCCTCTGCCGCCGTATATGCCTCGTGTATAATGTTCCCCCGCCAAGGCAGGCCACAAAACACTACTATACCTCATGCATGATACGTTTACGTACTTAAGTCCCTTTACATGTATATATATATATATATATTCTAATTACTATTAAAACTTATATACTAATACACTTTATTCTCTTTAAGAGATATGTAGTGTATTCATTTCGATTACGGGGGATGATTCTCGTATCGTCATTTTTCGTCATGTCTATCTCCATGTTGTGCGCCTGCTGCTTTCCTTGGATGTGGTAGCTGTTTCTTAGACTCCCTCTCCGTAATCGAACCCTGATTTCCCGTTACCCGTTACAACCATGATATTGTTATTAACTACTATCATAACATGAAACTAAAAAGTGAAAAATAAATATAGTTTAAAAAAACTAAAAAACACGCTTTTAAAGCACATCGAACTAAAAAGTTAAAAATAATTTTTAAAATTAACTTACAACAATAATGAACGATAAATACTAGTAATATTGTGATAAAAGCGTGGGTGCTTTATGCCATATTTTTTGTATATTGAGCGCCTGTCGCTTTTTTCACAATAATACTAGTATTTTTCGTTCCTGTACGCTTTTAATTAACAACTATCGATACCCAGTGAACATGTTAGTATGCATCAATAAAATGATCATAGGCTAAATCTAGGAGATTTAGGGGAGACATAAGAATTTTTGGAAATTTTATGTATTTATTTAGAAATATATTTTAAGCAGAAAAAAATTTAAGTTGTCCTCCAAACATTTCACTAAACTTGTGTCTATAAAAGTAATTCAACGTTCTTTATAAGTTTTACAAAATTTGCATAGATATTTATTTTGAGCAAATGTACTGTGTTACGGCTGCCAGAGATTTACGGTTAGTCATTGAAAGTGACTAGGAAATTTTGTGAAATAAAATAGTACGGAACGGGATTAGATCCCACAATATAGTACGGACTTACCTTACCACTAGGTCACCGTATACTTATGATTCAGATCCCCATACACTTCTATATAGGTTGATAACGTGATGTATGGCTAAGGAAAAAACGGTACCGCTTCAATACGTTATTATGACTTACCCATTAAGTTGGTGTTTAATGTGTCTATTGGTGGTTTTTCGAACATATCGTTGTGATCAACACTTCTCTTAATAATTAAAAATACCTTTGATTTATTAATTAAGGCATCTACGTATTTGTCAACTGATTGTATTTCATCTGCAGTGCTTATAATTAAAGCATGAATATCGTCAGTGTTTATATTCCTACGGTTGGTCTTATTCATTTCATTTAATCGTATTTTATTTGTAGCCATCGCATTAGCTATCAACGATTTGATATTACTTATATACTTAAGTCTATTAAAACTATGCCAATTTAAGCCGTTCAAGTCATGTCCCATGTCAGATAGAAATTTGTTTACTTTAAAGCTATATAAATTTTGATGTCTTAATTTCCATATAATTTGTACTAATGACGATGCCATTTTTATCAAACTATCTAAGAAAACGTTCATATAACTGCTAGAATATATAATTAAATATATGTTAAAATATAATGTCATTACCGAAAAAAGCGGTTGTAACGAAGCAGCTAAAATTTTTTGCTGAAATGATTTTAAATTGTTTCCATCAAAATTTAGCAAAATATTTTCGTATAATTCTATAGTGTTTAATTCATTATCTGAGTCAGAAATAATTTTAGTTTGTCGCATAAAACTAAGTCCATCATCAAAAACTGTAATATCTTTATTATATTTACTAAAAGAATTAAACAAATAAAAAAACAGCATATTTTTTGGATGAAAATCTGTATAAGTGTTTCTTTCAATAGTTTTCTTAAATATATTATTAGCATTATTTTTCATATCTACCAAACATTTATAAGCTATTTCAACGTCATAAATTTTTGGTATATTATTACATTCTGTTGAAACATTTAACAAATTATAAAAATGAGATTCTAATTGTATGAAATATAAACTTGAATGCTTACAAGTTTCATCTTGATACTTAATTAATTGATTAATAATTATGTTATAGTTCATTTCGTATCCTTTCCTTAGGCGTTCTTCATCTGTTGCAAGTGTTATACCATCACTATTTTTAACATCTAAAAACATATAAATATGACCCATCACGTTATTCAAATATAAATTTACAGTCATTAAATCAGCAGGAAATTCTGGAGTAGATTTTTTTCGCAACTCATCAATCATAGACAAAACTATGACTTGTTGCGATTTAAGATTTTTTCCGTAATACTTCAATTGTTCCATAGAGTAGTTTAGATCACCACTCAGTTTTGATGATAAATTGTAGTATTTTTCATTCAATTGAAAAAAATTCAAAATATATTTTGAAAATGTGCAATGTAATTTTATATGATTTCCAGTCGCAGTCGCCGATGTTAAAAACACCAAAAAAACTATTAGTCGTATCATGTTTTACAAAAATTTAAATCTAATAATGGTTGCAAAACAAACGTTTCTATCGCTAATAAAATCTTTTCATAATAATCTTACATTAAACAATATTTAGTATAAACTTTTAATTAAATATACAACTTTTAGTAATGTCAATGCTTAATATAATTATTGTTAACACAACTGTTTTATGTGTCATATGATTTCATACCCGGTAGTTATAGTTATAAATTGAAATTTTATCCATTAATATATTTTTTTTTGTTTGTTTCTTAACATTTTGTTTGTTTTTTCTCTATGACGCACTAGTCCTCAAATGTACAATTTTACCTATTTTAACAAATTATAGCTGTTGTTGATGACTACATACAACTTAAATGTTATTATTATTTAAGTTTTTTGTAAGTAATTTTCAAAATTGCATCGATAAAAAAAATTACTTATTTAGTGGTTTATTAAATAAACATAGAATATAACTTATTTATTTAAAAATAGATATACAAAAGTATAAATTTTATTGAGACTGTTATACACTGAATTTTTTTTTTCTTATAATATAGTTAATATTTACTATGGTTTATAAAAATAAAGCAAATTTTAATCTGTATATTTTTCTATGTCAAAATTATTATTTGACAATGTGGGAGTAGTGTTCTTAATAAATCTCACATTATAAAATGTGTGTGATAATTATGATATATTAAAGGTTCTTCAATGAGTATTTAAAATTTAAGAGGTAGTAGTGTGCTCATAAATACTATTGGTCAGCGGAGCGGCTAATAAAGCAAAATAGTTAAACTCAATTAAAACAAAATAATAAATAACATTAAAAAATAATACAAAACTCAATTGAATAAATGAAGTTGTTGTTAGTGATAAGTGGATTATATGAGTTGTTGTGGTAATGGTGTCATATGTCTGGGTATCACGAGTCAGATTGTAGTTGCAGCGCGTAATGGCCAATGAAACCAGATGGCGAAAAAGAGACTACGGCAATAAATATATTTAGTGATGGTCAGGACTCAATCACTGATAGTGTGCAAGGGCACAAGAAATTTGAGTACAAGGGTACAAAAATAAAAGTGACAACGCACAATGGTCGAACAATTGACCGGATAAGCGAAGGCGCTTGCTGTAAACGATGTTGCATAAAAAACATTCACTCACTAACGTAAGACGATGCTGATCACGGCTGACAATTAAGACGTAAGCCGTTGATTTCCCTTGCTGGATGTCAAGGGTTGAGTAAAAATAAAAGCTAGAGATCAGTTAGCACACCATAAAAAATAAAATAAACAATGTTTGTAACAACTGGTCCTTTAGGTCTTTGACGATATCTATCAAACATGTGTCTCATTATTATAAACGTTTATTAAATTATGGTAAAAATAATACATATCATTTTTGTGGTTAAACTAGTCAACAATATCAATTACAATGATTCACTGTTTTGTTGTACAATTAAATCTGAGTTTAATAATAAGTACTATTATTTAACGATAATAATAAAAATCAGTTTCAATAAAGAATAATTCTATTTTTTGATGATAATTTTAAGACGTACAAATTTTTAGTAATTTTATTCCTAATAATTTAATGATGTTGCGTAAAACTAATTATAATTTTGACACTCATCACAATAATAAGTGACATCGCTATATCTACTTGTATTAATACATTTTGTTAAGACTACTCAATTTAATTTCAACTCATTCAATTAAATTAATTTTGGATTATTGTCTCCAAAAATTGTAATACGCAATTATAACAATTATACAAACAAACCCAACTCACTTATTATATTTTTGTAGTGTAATGATTTATTCTTTATAGATTAGACTTTGTAAATATTAAACCTAATGTATTTATACTATCAAAAAAACATATTAATGAAAGAAAAAAACAATTCATTTTATGAGTATAAATTTCAATATAAATATAAAATTAGTTGAATTAATATGTATGTTAAGAATATATTAATATTTTTATGATTTATCATCATTCCATTTGTAATTTGTGAATAAGAAAATTAATGTAGCATATATTCTATAACAAAAAAACAAAACGTGATTCTTAAATAATTTTTATACATTTGGTAATTTCTGCATCAAGATTAGCATATGTCGGAGGTTTAGACATTAAAATCTTATTATATAATAGAACAAGGAAAAAAACGATTTTCTGGAAATATTACTTAGCGTGCTCGATTTTCTAAATTTTAGCTTCGATGCGAACCTGAGAAGGTATTGGTTTTACTATGATGTGTTTTTTTTTTTTGTGTCTGTTACCACTTTTTCTCAGCTCTCACCGAACGGATTTTATTCAACGATACGTCAAAAGATCACAAATTGTATCTAGTCGAAGACATTACCCTTCAAAATAGAAAAAATTTCCCTCGTTCCCCGTAAATGGGGGGAAACCTCCAAAAAATTACAAATTTAAAAATCGCTAATTTTCGAAATTTTTTCAATTTTTTTTACTAAAAACTGCCGTAACATTTTTAAAAATGAACATATCAATATTATTTTTTAATTGTAGATGCGTGATGTCTTTACATATCATTTGGCATATTTTTTTATAAATCTGACTGTTTAATTGCCTACAGAGAGGGATTCAAAATGACAACTTTATTACAAAAAAATTGCTTTTTCAACTTAACTTTTGAAAGTGTTCCGGAAAGTCTGATACTTTTATATATATCTTAAATTAAAGTTATTGTAATGTACTTTATTATGAAAAAAAAAAATTCAGACTTTAGTTTGTCTTCATGGTGAAAATGGCTACCAAATGCTATTTTTGTGTGAAAATTCTCGATTTTACTTTTTACATTTTTAATTTTATAATGCTAAAATTTATTAAAAAGTGCATGGATTAACACAATTTTTTTATGAGAAATAATATTTATATCCCTTTTGCATTCCACATATTTTATCTTATTCAGGATATTAATAAGAAAATAGCAGATCATGTAGCTTTTGGAATAATCCACCAATTTTTTTTTTATATAGATGCTTGATGTCTTTACTTATCATTTAGTATATTTTTTTTGTAAATCTGACACTTAACCTGCCCACAGGGGGTGATTTAAAATGACAACTTTTTCACAAAAAATTTTCTTTTTCAACATAACTTTTGAAAATGTTCCGGAAGGTCTGACACTTTTATATATATCTTAAATTAAAGCTAATGTAATATACTTTAATTTGAAAAAAAAAAATTTGACCTCTGGACTTGTCTTCATGGCGAAAATGGCTACCGAATGCTATTTTCGTGTGAAAATTCTCGATTTTATTATTCATATTATATTTAACTTTATAATGCTATAACTTATTGAAAAGTTTATGGATCCACACAATTTTTTTATGAGAAATAATATTTTTTAATAAACCCTTTTTCATTCGACATACTTTATCTTAATCGAGATATTAATAAGGAACCAGCAGATCAAGTAGCTTTTGGAATAAAACACCAATTTTTTTAAAATTAAACACTATCTAAAGATTTGCATCGAAGCGTTTATTTTTGATAGTGATTTTAATCACTGTCAGATATCATTATACTTGACCCAACTATGCCACGTCACCACTGTGCCGCGACCCCTCTGTGCTGGGTTTTTTTTTTAACTCGGTCACCAGACTTCGGAAAAATATTTTACGACTTAAGGTTTGAAATTTTCATCAGACCCGCCCAATGAAATTCCTGAGATATGATAAAAAAATCAATTCAATCCGTTCATATTTCACTGTTTTACGAGCTTTTTTTTTTCCACGCGCATGGTTTTAATATGCGCATTGATTCATTTCTTCTCATACGTTTATTATGAACCTTAATTATATGGTGTAATATGTATTTTTATTAGTACAATATTTTGAATTTGCACATAGCACTATATTTTATCGAGGAATATTATATGTTATATATAAATTTCAAGACAGTTATAATTATATAAGTTCGTACTTTCATTATCAGAACAGTACATTATTAATAATCTTTTTTTTCTCATATATGTATGAGTCTATGAGTTTATCGTTTAAATTGGGATTCATCTTTGACAACTATGCTGTCCAACGTTAAATCGCAGTTACCAATATTTTTATAAAAATTAAATTTTTTATATAGTCCCACGTATAATAACCTGTTGAATTTTTTTTTAATTATTCTATAATATAAACATAATTATTATAATTAGAAAATTAATAATTTTTGTGTATACCAGGAGTGATTTAAGGGAGATATGGGCCCCCCTTGAACCAGCGCTATCAATATTTTTTTAGGTATCTTCTACTAAATAAGGACCTAATGTCTTTTTTTTCATCATTACTTTAATTTTTAGCAAAAAAATTCAATAACATGTTAAACAAAGAAAAAAATATTAAATACCCTCCTAAAATAATTTTTTAATAGGGAATACCTCATCAACAAACGTCAACCATATACCCAATATATTTTACTATATTCTCTTTTTAAATTTTCCTGATTTTAATAATAACATTTTTAATATATTTTTGTTACACTGATTCTGATGTAATATTTTTTCTGAAAAACACTTATCGTACCTGGCGTAGCTGGGTACCTTTACCGGAATCAGTGGCCTACTTATGATGACAGCCCGAAGAGGCTGTCACAAATTTAACCGTTACACAATTTCCAAATACTATTCTAACTAAACTATCAATAAATATGAGACATTATTGTATAAAAAGACATTAATTAGAGTGAAGTAATATAATTTCAAACGATTGGGGTAATTGTAAATGCAAAAGTTTTCATTTCGAACCTACACATAATAACACATATAAGGATCAAAAATTTTCAGTCTAAAATAAAATCTGCTAAATATTATAAGATAAAAAATGCATTTACAATTACCCCAATTGTTTAAATTTACTGCAATTTATCCTAATAAGGAAAAATTGAAGATTTGAAAACAAAAGCGTGGTTTTGTATAAAAAAAAATACAGTTAAAGAATCTAGACTAGCAATATTTAATTCAGATAATGCGGCTTGAATTATATTTTTAGATCAAATTATATTGTCAAGATGTAAGATGTGTTTGAATAACTCATAATTAACTTATAGACACGTATTGTCATTTTATTGATGTCTCTAATTTTTAACAAATTTTAGAACATGAATTATGAAACATTAAGCATTTGATTAATGTGAATATTATTATACGATATTTGTTATATATTTTAATATGTATTTTTATGTTTTTTATCATATGGATTATTTAATGTACTTGATTAGATGAAAAAAATCTGAAATGAATCTTAAAATTATATCCGTGATCTTTTATAAATCCACTTAAATACAAATATTTCTCGCTGCGATAAATACTGTATTCTTTTTAATTTTGTAATATTATTTAATATTGTCAAACAAAGTACGTCAATAGATTAATGTAACAAAAACAAATGCAAATAAAAAAAATAAAAATGAACAAAATATAATAAAATTGCATAAAAATATCTGTAAAAAAGAACCATGTTATAAAATAACAGTAAAATGTACCTAAAGTATATTTTTCTGAAAACAATTTTCATATTATAATGAATCTAGTTCTAGTAAAATTTGTTACCAAATTTTTTGGTAACATTTTGCTATATAAATCATTTCTAAAAAAAATGATTGTTAGTTTCTCCTGAATTCATAATGGATTTTTACAATTATATTCAAATTTTATTATACGCTCAATTGAGTAAATCTTTTTAACAACTTTGTTTTGATTGGTTCATTTAGTCAAAGTAAATCATTAAAATTAATTATGTTCTGAATATTTCGATTGGCAGAATCTTTTCAAACACCAATTATTTACTAGGAAATTAGTACTATAACTTCCATTTAAGTTTCCATTACGATAAAAATGCAAAAAAATATTGGGCTTTTCTGATAAATTTACAATAAATAGTAATTATAAAACTTTCTGATTGCATATTAATCTTAACGACACAATTTTTCAATTCTCATAAAATATTCTATTTAATGATGACAATTTCAAACTTGCCAATTGAGAAAATAGTTATGGTAACATATTCAATTTTTTTTACTGTAAACTTTCACAAAACTTTATCAACAATTTTTCATCAACTTTAAAGAACCAAAAAAATAGGTTAAAAATGAAAATTTGGACTGATTATTTTAAAAAAATTAAAAATCAAATCAGTAATAATTTGAAAACAAATTTTTTTTTCTTTTAATATCTAATTAGTAATAATATAAAAACAATGGGGTGGCGGCACAGTGGGGTCGTGGCATAGTTAGGTCCAGTATAGATGATATTTGACAGTGATTAAAATCACTATCATAAAAAACGCTTCGAAGCAAATCTGTAGATAGTGTTTAATTTAAAAAAAATTTTTGTTAGAATAGCATATTTTTGAATATGGTAGCCATTTGCGCATAGAAGATAGGTCGTCGGGACAAAATTTTTTTTTCATTTTATAGTACATAAAATAAGCTTTAATTTGATCTATGTTTAAAGGACACAGTACTTCCGGAACATTTTCAAAAATAAGGTTGAAAAAGTTATTTTTTGTAAAAAAGTTACTATTTTAAATCTCCCCAGTGAGCAGAATAAGTGTTAGATTTTCAAAAATTATATCAAATGAAAGGGAAATATCTAAGGTTTCAATACAAAAAAATATTTTTTTTATTTGTTCATTTTTGAAAAAGTTATGGAAGTTTTAAGTACAAAAAACATCCCAATAAAAGGTAATTTTTATCGCAAACATTACATTTTTTTTTAAATTTCGACAGCCATTTGCACATAGAAGATAAAGTGTCGGGACAAATTTTTTTTTTCATTTGATAGTATATAACATAACCTTTGATTTGATATATGTTTAAAGGACGCAGTATTTCCGGAACATTTTCAAAAGTTCAGTTGAAAAAGATTTATGTTTTTTACAATATTTCAAGTTTTGAACGCCCCCTATATAAGGGGAAATTGTCCAATTTTAATAAAAAGTATGTCAAATGAAAGATGTACTTATAATGTATTTAGAAAAAAAAAATTTGTGCTGATATATACATTTTTCAAAAAGTTATAGCATTTTTAAGTTGAAAATTTAAAATCGAAAATCGAAAATTTTAACACAAAAATAGTGTTTTTTTAACTACGGCAGCCGTTTAAATGTAGAAAAAAAAGTGTCGGGACAAATTTTTTTTTTTCATTTTGTAGTACATAAAATAAGCTTTAATTTGATATATGTTTAAAGGATGCAGTATTTCCGGAACATTTTCAAAAATTAAGTTGAAAAAGTTAATTTTTGTAAAAAAGTTGCTATTTTTAATCTCCCCCAATGAGCAGGTTAAGTGATAGATTTTCAAAAAAATAATATCAAATAAAAGGTCAATATCTAAGGTTTTAGTATAAAAAAAAATAATGTTGATTTGTTGATTTTTCAAAAAGTTATGGAAGTTTTAAGAAAAAAAAGTGAAAAAATTTCGAAAATTAGCGATTTTTAAATTTGTAATTTTTTTGGATATTTCCCCCATTTGCGGGGAACTAGAGAATTTTTAAGGGTAATATCTTCAACTAGATACGATTTGTGATCTTTTGACGTATTGACGAAAGAAATCGGTCCAGTGAGAGCTGAGAAAAAGTGGTAACAGACATAAAAAAAAAACACATCATAGTAAAATTAATACCTTCTCCGCTTCGCATCGAAGCTAATAGGAATTAATTTTTCTTTAAGTTTATCAACTAAATTCTTAAATTTCAACACTATTCACAGATTTGCATCGAAGCGTTTTTTATAATAGTAATTTTAATCACTATCAGGTATCAATTATATAAGTCTATAAAGGTAGAGTAGAAATATAATATCGACAAAATGCAACATATATATTAAATAAAAGTCTCTACTACGCCTTTTCACACTGTGTCACGACTCCACTGTGCTAGGTTTTTTTTATACACAATTAGATTTCATTTATTTCGATTCTGACATTGAATTGTTGAACCAAGAATAATATTAAATAAATAGAATCAGTTATAATGTATAATACACAATATATATTTACTATGGTATATATTTAACTAAGATAAGCAAACAATAAATTAAAAAAATTTAAAGTTGTTTTGGATCCTTGTATGGAAATAGATTTAATCATAGTTTATCACTTTTGTATTGTGTGGTTATTATTAAAGTGTCATCAGGTTTGAAATCAGAATTAATATCCCAATCCCAGTACTGATTATTGTCTAAAACAGCATAATTTAGTTTTGATTTCATTAATTCCCGACAATTTAAGAATTGTTTTCTATGTGTTTTGAAGTGTGACTGACTCTTTTTATCAGTACCAAAAATCATACACGTTATATTCCTAATACAGTCAAGAGGTAGAGTAGAAATATAATACTGTTTAAATGCAACATAAACATTTTTAAAAAGTTGTTTAAAATTATCTAAACTATAGAAAAATTGTGGTACATTAATTTTAATATTAAACAAACTAAAGTTTTCTGAATTATCTATATTTTTAGACATAACTGAAATTCTATCCCAATATTCAATTTGTTTGTATCAAATTGAATATTGGAATAGATTTAAACCTTGTTTAGCACTTTTGTATTGCAAGGCCATTAGTACAGTTTCATAAAATATGAGAATTGTTTTCATTGTTTTTTGTGATATGACTTTACCAGTACCAAAAATCATACACGTATATTTGAAACACAGTCAAGAGGTAGAGTAGATATATAATACTGTTTAAATGCATCAGAAAAATTATTTAAAAGTTTTTTAAAATTACTTAAAATCAAAGTAAGTGTTGAAACATGAATTTTAATATTAAAACCAGTGTGTGAATATATATATATTGGTGTGTAAACCTTAAAAACTAATATAATAAATAATTAACTTAACATTTTATGACTAATATAAAAATAATATTTTCAATAAATAATATTAAAATAATATTTACAATTATTCTTTGTTTATACACAAAATTAATTTTTTTTTGGTTCGTTGTACGGAAATAGATTTATTCCTACTTTATCATTTTTGTATTGTGTAGTCATTAATACAGTGTCATCAGGTTTGTTATCAGAAGTAATATCCCATTCCCAGTTCTCAATATTGTCTAATACAGCATAATTTAGTTTTGATTTCATTAATTCCCGACAATTTAAAAATTGTTCTCTAAGTTTTTGAACGAATGCATTATTCCCATTAATAATATTAAACATATTCACCTTGAGATTTATAACACAATCAAGAGGTAGAGTAGATATATGATATCGTCTAAATGCAGCATATATATTAAATAATAGTTGATAAGTATTTTTTACAATCGAGTGAAGTACTAAAATATTTGGTTTAATATTAAACAAACTAAAGTTTTCTGAATAATCTATATTTTTAGACATAACTGAAATTCTATCCCAATATTCAATTTGATACAAACAAAATCTGTCTACAAATGTTAAACCAACGCTTTCAATAACATTCAGATAGTGAGTATAACATTGTATAATATTAGTATTGTTTTTAATACACGGTCGAATGATATCTCCTAATTTTTTACCAACTGTACCGTTAATAGGTACAGGAACTTCTATTTCATTTTTTTGCGTCCATGTCCAAGGTTTTTTACATTTCCTTGGATTGAATAATTCAGTCGACACAACATCGGGATCGTCTAATATAGTATTTTTATTGTAAGGCGTAGGACAACGAGCTATATACCTGTGTAATATTCTTGTTTTTGTAATTTCAACTGTATAAATGCAGGATATTCTCTGATGAGTATATTCAAATCGTTAATAGTTATAGATGTTTGATTTTCAGTGTACTGACTAAATTCATCAGTTGTATAAACAGTTATAACATTAAAAATTATTATTTTAAATAAAATAATACATATTTTGCTATAATATATCATTTTTACCCGTTTCAGTAAAATTATTCAAACAATAGTTAACCAATTAGAAATTATAAAATAAAATCAGNTGATCAAAGAAAAAATTAAAATATTCAATTTTTGTAAGGTTTTAGACGTTATTCGTTAATAACGTAAAGTATTTGATGAGATTCGTTTACTTCACTTTTTAAAACTAATAAATTTTTTTTGAAAATTAAAATTCATACCTCTCAAGTGATTCATTTTTTGTTTAAGTATAATGTTGAATTTTTGAGATATATTTAAATCGTAATTACTTTATATTTATAATCGTGCAAGCGTCATATTTACTGGTTTACGCACTATTTTTATATATTAACGTAGTTAGAAAAAAATAATTGTTTGGCAAATTATCGTATTGAAATATTTTTATAACACAAGTAATATAATATATATGATAGTGAATAAAATAACTATAAAAAAAAAAATAACACTTCGATGCAAACCTTTAGATAGGGTATAATTTTAAAAAATTGGTTGATTATGATTATTTAGTGCGTAAACCATTAAATATGACGTTTGCACGATTATAAATATAAAGTAATTACGATTTAAATATATCTCAAAAATTCAACATTATACTTAAACAAATAATGAATCACTTGAGAGGTATGAATTTTAATTTTCAAAAAAAATTTATTAGTTTTAAAAAGTGAAGTAAACGAATCTCATCAAATACCTTACGTTATTAACGAATAACGTCTAAAACCTTACAAAAATTGAATATTTTAATTTTTTCTTTGATCAATTTGTTGTTTTTTTTTTTTGTAATAATTAATTGATTTAATAAAGTCTGAATAAGTTTATTTAACAGGTAAAAATGAACTATTATAGCAAAATACATACTATTTTACTGAGAGTAATATTTTTAAATGTTATAAGTGTTTATACAAATGATGAATTTAGTCAGTACACTGAAAATCAAACATCTATAACTATTAACGATTTGAATATACTCATCAGAGAATATCCTGCATTTATACAGTTGAAATTACAAAAACAAGAATATTACACAGGTATATAGCTCGTTGTCCTATGCCTTACAATAAAAATACTATATTAGACGATCCCGATGTTGTGTCGACTGAATTATTCAATCCAAGGAAATGTAAAAAACCTTGGACATGGACGCAAAAAAATGAAATAGATGTTCCTATATCTATTAACGGTACAGTTGGTAAACAATTAGGAGATATCATTCTACCGTGTATTAAAAACAATACTAATATTATACAATGTTATACTCACTATCTAAATGTAATCGAAAGCGTTGGTTTAACATTTGCAGATAGATATTGTTTGTTTGTGGTAGAAATTTGGGATAGAATTTTAGAATTTACTAAAAATATAGATTATTTAAGAAAATTTAGTTTGTTTAATATTAAACCAAATATTTCAGTACTTCACTCGATTGTAAAAAATACTTATCAACTATTATTTAATATATATGCTGCATTTAAACGATATCATATCGTTATCTACTATACCTTTTGAATGTATTATAAATCTCAAGGAGGATATGTTTAATATTATTAAACGGAATAATGCATACGTTCAAAAACTTAGAAAACAATATTTAAATTGTCGGGAATTAATGAAATCAAAACTAAATTATGCTGTATTAGACAATGTTGAGAACTGGGAATCGGATATTACTTCTGATAACAAACCTGATGACACTGTTCTAATGACCACGCAATACAAAAATGATAAACTAGGATTAAATCTATTCCCGTACAAGGATCCAAAACAACTTAAAATTTTTTTTTCATTTACTGTGTAAATAATGAATAATTTTAAGTATAGTTTATTTTGTTAAATGTTAAATATAAAAATATTACGACAGTGGCGATTGCAGTAATAAAAATTGTTGATTAAATAAAATAAAATTTAGATTAAACTAATTTTACTAGTTAATATCATATGAAACATTTCAAACTCGTATTTATTTATTTTATATTGGGAATGGGATATTACTTCTGATAACAAACCTGATAACACTGTATTAATGACTACACAATACAAAAATGATTAAGTAGGATTAAATCTATTTCCGTACAACGAACCAAAAAAAAATTAATTTTGTGTATAAACAAAGAATAATTGTAAATATTATTGTAATATTATTTTTATATTAGTCATAAAATGTTGAGTTAATTATTTATTATATTTGTTTTTAAGGATTACACACCAATATATATATATACATACTTACATATTTAAATACTACATAGATCACTGGTTTTACACGGGCAACGTCTTCTAACATCAGTGACTCTATTATAGCACTATACACTAACAGGTTAGTCATCTTTTGGAGTGGTATACTACATAAATGTAATCAATAAATAATTTTAAATATAGTTTATTTTGTTAAATATTAAATTTAAAAATATTACGATAGTGACGATTGTATCAATAAAAATGGATCATTATACAAAATCAAATTTAGATTAAACTATCTTTTTTTACTATTTCATATTATAGTATGATGCCATATTTTAAGTTCACTAAGAGGAAATACAAGATATTGTTACAGGTCCTCAGTGTACGATCAGCTGATGTCAATAGGATGGCAGATATCGAACCGGTTGACTGGTGGAGGTTATCAAATACACAACTATCAATACTTTACACCTAATGCACACATCGCTAACTGATAAGATTTAAATAAATAAACTAGTATAAATTCTGCAACATTTTAAGCTTCTAATTGTCTTAAGAATCCAAAAAACTTGAATCTAGGTTAAACATCGCTGAAACAAATAGTTCACCTTTTAATTCAGCAAATAACAACATCACACCTATTGCTTTACACTTCTTTGCTATGTTTAATGATATTAATATACCTATAACTATTGACACTAAATCAAATGTCAGTTGTATTACATATATAAATAGAAAACTTTTACAAATGGAGAGGGATCTCTCATTAACATTTCACCTCATTTAATAAACTCTGAACAGAATGATATCCGTAAAAAATAATTCAGAAGTAAATATCCTTCCAAATTTAAGTTAGTATTTTAACACAAAACCGCATAATTTTTTGTTACATTTCGTTCAGCACACGCCAGCTGTAACAGCTGATCTGAACGTAAACAATATCACACCGATATCCGAATGGGTTGAACAGATAGAAACAACGAGCTCGCACAACGCAATAGTTCCTACCTTTGAACAAGTCGTTTTATCAACCGCCGTAGTATCAGTACGAGACAATAATAATAAACTACAACCATGGCGTCTTTTATTAGATTCCGGTTCACAGAGTAATTTTATTTCCGAATCATTAATACAGGAATTAAAATTGAAAAAGAGAAAAATAGCTCATACAGTAATCGGTATAGGCGAAACTGTAAAAAATATATCCGCGTCGGTTAAAATACAGATTGAGTTGCGTGTAAATAATTTTTATTTAAATATAAGGTGTTTAATAGTACCCAAAGTAATTGGTAGTTTACCTACACGAAGGATAAGTGAAAATGTGCAGATGCCCGGTCATATAGTATTAGCAGATCCATATTGCAGAAATCCCCAAAAGGTTGACGTATTATTGGGGGCGGAACAATTTTATGAAGTTCTCGAAACTGACCGGTTAAAGATATTTGAAGGCAGACCGACGGCTCAAAAAACAAAGTTTGGCTGGGTGATTTCCGGGCCCATTCCGGAAAAGATTTACAATAACCTTAATACAAATAGTAAGAGTTGTCACGTGAGTGAAAAATGTGATAATTGTAGTAATCGACTAGAAGGATTGTTAACACAATTTTAGAAATTAGAAACGATAGAAAAGGAATACCCTTTTACTTTAGAAGAAAATAAATGTCAAGAAATATTTGATCATACAGTACCGAGTGATGAAACTGGCAGATTTATAGTAAAATTACTATTTCGTAATCAACTAACTGGTCTCGGTGGTTCTTATGAAATAGCCAAGCGTCGATTGTTATGTTTAGAAAAAAGATTTATGAGCAATGTAAAATTAAAAAATGAATATTCAAAATTTTTGTTTAAGGTAAAGACATTATAGCTGATAGGCTATTTGCACATAAATTATTAAATAATATGGTATATAATCTAGTCATCAGTATTAGAAGAATCAAAATTTATAATATGAATAACATATAAATAGATTTTCTTTTATGATCCTTTGTACTTACCGTGTATTATTACTTTATCAGGATGTTGATATTTAAATCATTATGTAAGTTATTAGCTTTTTCATAAATAAAAAAAAACCCAACATAGTGAGATCGTAGCATAGTGGTATCATTGGTGTACGCGCGGGAGGGGGGTGTCAAGGAGATAGACACCCCCCTTAAATGTTAAATTTGTTCAAACTTCAAATTATAAAACTAAGACTAAAAAAAAAAAAATGAAAATTTCCTGATAAACCATTATCATTATCAATCAGATATACACTGATTGTTTCATGCACATAGCATTACGGATATAGATACTATGGTTGCAAGGCGGCCTATATTAGATCAGAGAGTTGAGCGGCGCAGAATGTTCTTATCAAATTTAATATTTATGTAACACTCCAAAGCGTAAATTTGATTTTACAAAACACTTAAATAAGTTTAAGGAAGATAATTCTTGTTTGAGACAAAAAAAAAAAAATTAAAAAGACTGTGTCCTACTAGATGGTCTGAAAGATATGACTCAATTGATTTATATTATGATTATCAACCAGTCAATATATCATGTTTTGAAGAAATGATGTCATCGCCAAATACTGAAACGTCATCAAGATCAGCCCAGTTATTTTTAGCTATTCAAACATCAGAATTTAATGTAAGTCTTATTGTCATTCATAGAATATTTCAATATACAAAAACTCTTTGTTCATATTTACAATAAACTAACATAGATTTATCTCAAGCTTTATGTCATATTGACCTAGTAATTTATGAACTTCAAAAAATAAGAGAAAATTGTGATGATGAGTATCATAAGTATTTTGAAGAGCTTACAGAAAGGTCAAAGAAAATGGATTTTGAAATTACCATCCCAGAAAAGTTAAGCGACAAAAAAATGGATCAAATTATTCTACAGTAGACCCTGAACATTTTTTTAAAATTAGTAAATTCTTTCTATTTGTGGAAAGCTTAGTTCAACAATTAAAAGACCGATTTTTAAACCATAAAAATATTATAGCTGGATTTTGTTTTCTAATTTCCAATGAAAACTATGATAAACAAGGGGTCAAAGATTTAAATTAATTTTATTCAAATGATATTGATCAAGAAGTTTTTGAAGTGGAAGTAAAACTTTGGTGAACACATTTGCAAAAGTTAAGTGTACATGGTCTTCTAGATGCTCTTGATAAGTGCAATAAAGACCTCTTTCCAAATGTGTTCAAACTGCTTCAAATTTTTGCATCACTACCTTTTACATCGTGTGAACCAGAAAGAAGTTTTTCCACACTAAAAAGGATTAAGACCTATCTTCAAAATTCTATTGGCCAGTTAAGACTGAATGGTTTAGCAGCTTTTAATATTCATCGCGAAGTTGATGTTGAAATTGAGGAAGTAATCAAAGTATTGGCAAAACAAAACCGTCGTACTGACTTTATTTTATAACTAAATATTTTGTAATTTTTATTATACATTCATCAAATATATATATATATATTATTCATAAATGATTTATTTTATTTTATTTTATTAACTATTCTATCATAACATAGTTGGAGAAGATTTTTTATAGTGTTGAGCAAAAAACAAAAAAAAATTGGTAAATTTGTGTATATTATTATGATGTATGACACCCCCCTTAAAAAAATCCTGCGTACGACACTGAGTGGCATAGTTGAGTTCAATATAGATTTAATCTGACAGTGNGGGTCCAGTATAGATTTAATCTGACAGTGATTAAAATCACTATCATAAGAAACGCTTCGATGCAAATCTGTAGATAGTGTTTAATTCTAAGAAATTGGTAGATAATTATAAAAGCAACATTAACTATTTCCTTAATTATATACAGATTAGTAATTCTTAGATTCAAAAATATAATATAAAATTATATATTATATAATTGTTATATTGAATTGTTTTCAAATTATTATTGATATTGATTTTTAATATGTTAAAAGTAATAATTTTTAACCTTCTTTATTTCGTCCATTGAAGTGAAGGTTTATAATAAAAAAAAAATGAATTATTACCATAGCTTTTAGCTCAACTTGCAAGTTTGAAATTGACATTATTAAATAGAAAAAATTAAATTGTTAAGATTAATATGCAGTCTGGAAATTTTATAATTACTATTTACAGTAAATTTATCAGAAAAGTTCGATTTTTTTTACATTTTTATCGTAATAGATCATTTAAATAAAAATCATAGTAATCATTTCTAATTTACATTTGGTGTTTAAAAAGATTCTACAATGTTAATATTCAGAACCTAATTAATTTTAATGATTTACTTGTTATAATTCAAAAATAAGCAAAAATTAATAAAATGAAAATAAATATAATGACGGGGTCTTGGGTTTTTGTATATAATGAAACCTGATGTCGTGGTTCTATCGGGGTCGTATAGTTCGAGGATTTAGAATGACAAAGACAAGTAGATATAAAAATAATAACACAGTACCTCTAATTGAGGTTTAAAAAACTTTTGTCTGGTTAGTTTCTAATGTCCTAACTAAGAGGAAACGAAACGGCGAATGCAGTTCACGAATACCTCGTCAACGAGAGGGCAGAGCCAGTCCACGAATACCAGAGCCTAACTTATACAGAAGAAATCACGCTAGGTTTTTAAAACATCTTTAAGGCAACGAAACGGCAGAGCCAGTTCACGAATACCATATAACGTGATTATATATAATTTCTATAACCAACCAGTCAAAATTGACACTTTAAGATTTTAATTTGATAAATCATCTATTGCTTTGTCATCCTTTACTCAAACTTATTAACTCCAAATAATTGGGATAACATAAAATTACTTACTTCTTTTATTCTTGCAAATTTCTGTAAAATGATTTGATAAATATCTCGATATGTTTATATATGTTTAAAAGTATTGTTATAGTATGTATTTTAAT